GATTAGGGATTCAACCTGTACCTCTGTACTAGAATTTGATGCCAGTAGCAAAACTGGTAACCCACCCACTTTTTCAGTAGTATCTCAATAGCAAGTAAACTAGAAGAGAGCTTAGAGCAACTAACACGGACACGAACCAGTACCTCACTTTGCTTCTTCATCTAGGAGTTGCGTCGGCCACAAACAACAAAAACAACGAAACAGAATTCAAATCAACGAGCGATTTCTACCGGAAGAAGCACTTGAATGCCTTAAACCTTGCACTTGCGAGCTCTATTGCTGATATTCTTGAGCTGGAAACGAAAGAAGATATGTACGATAAAGGGGAAGAAATCCTCCTCGAGTTTTTGCACGCCCTTTCAGAGACACGGATGGCTGCGTTGATTGCTTGGGCAGCATCCCGAAAAAACAACAGGATACTGGAGCTGCAATTACAAGGAAATGTCGTGGAATCCCTGTATGAAGAATTCAAAACAATTTCCCCTGAGGTTGCAACGACTCAGGAGGATAAGCTCGACGCCGGAAGGAGTGATGTTACAATTACGACGGAGAAATGCATGCTGGTACTAGAGCTCAAAAAGAAGGACAACGCCACGGGGCCTACAGCCCATGAATGGGAAGCGTATCATGCTCAACTAAGGAAATACGTCGAGGAACATAGAAGCAGGACCGATCCCAGCAAGTGGGTGGCTGGATTTGTTCTTGTTATGTACAACGGAGGGAAAAACTACTCTGTTAAAAAGTTAGCCGATGATGCGTGAGCCGTCTATTATACATCTTTTCTGGTGGCATTTGTTATGCTTATTATGAGTTACTAGCTAGTACTTGCACTGTGTACCGGTACGGCGTCCTGGCCTACCCAATTTTGACAAAGGAGGTTGTGCTTGTGTGCTTTCGTTCTATCCATTTCTCGTTGTCTTCCATTGAAGACCCTAGTGGTGTGTACTGGGGCCGCTCAACAAGCAGCAAATCCTTGTCCTCCTTGACAAAGTCGATGTGACTGTGAGCCAGCGGCCACCACGTCTCAAAGCTTTCCCTCGCGGCTTGTTGCTGCACCTCCGTCTCCAAGTTCAAGACAGCTTCCTCAAACTGGCTTCGGACACTCTCCAATTCTTTTTGAAGCAAGGTCGGTGTCATTTCATGTCCAAACAAATGGGCAAATGCTCTGTAGGTGTTGAATGACTCCTCTGCAACATCTTCTTCGTAATCTCTGGCGTCCATTGCGAGTGCCATTACCTTAAAGATAGCGTCGAGCGTTGTGTGCAAGCCGTGGTTTCTTTCAAACTCGGAATACATTCCAATCCAAGACACCATTGTAGTAATCAGGATTCGAATGTCGTTGGAGCGGTACATCAAAATCTTCCGAACGGTTGCCAAGTCTACGACCTGTTCACTGTGGAGGATCGATGTCTCCAGTTGAAAGTAGGTGGGGATTGAACTCTCGAAGAATCGGTTTTGTGTGGACACTACCAACCAAGTCTTCTAACCTGGAGTTGAACTCATGCAACAAATCACTGCGAGTTGAAACCGAAACCGTGTCAGGATAGCTGTTGGCACAAGTAGTGTGCGATCGTGGACATATGCCGTACGGTGCCTCAACGACTTATCCGATGTCCCAAGGAACGTGAAACCTCTGGCCTTCTTCAACAACCTTATCCATGAGATATATGATCCTTTCCATGTCTTCGAGTGGCTGTTGCAATGCGATGACGCTGTCCATTTCGCTTGGACGAACACTGATTGGAAAAGAGCTTGAAGGCGTCTTCGGTGATCTCGGCTGTCTTTCCAATGGACCTTTTCATCAACTTGTCCGTCAGGAAGGATGCATCAACTGATTCTTTTCTGCCGTCGCAATCGTTCAAGTCTCAGTCGGGACAAATGGGTTTGGTTGTCTTTTGGGGGGTGAAAACCATCATGGTGTGGCCGCGAGTACCAACGCAGTTGTTTTCGTGTCCTCTAGCGATCGAACCAGAGGAAACATGAATGCCCGAATTTCGCTTGCCTGGGTCCAGACCAGAGACACTGGGCAAGCCGCTGTTTGACTTGACGGCTCGTCGCAACTTTTAAGAATTGCACCTTTCAAGGGTAACTCTATCAAACCAATGACCCTGAAACACTGCGCCTCAACACAGGATGGATGCCAGTTTGCATTACTTTATCCAAAGAACGCAAAAGCGGAGCAAAAGTGCATGGAATCATTTGCCCCCAGTTCTTGGCTTTTTCACCACATCATCTCTGAAAATGTATCTAGTTCCCTGCTGGAGCCCTACTAGACCCATAGATGACTCCATTTTGTGGGAAACTGGCCATACGTGTACTCCGTTGGGCCATTGGGGGGTTGGCCTCGAGCTACTAGTGGCAGTGCAGAAGAAAAGGTGCAGGTCTGTTTGCAATCTTCGTTATGAAAGAATTTGCGCGGCTCTACCCAAGGTGAAGTCTACTCCAGAGCAGCTCTAGATTGTATCATATGCATCCATTATAGTTTACAGATACGCTACAAACCCTGTTCTTGATGTTTGTGGGTGCATTGCGGTATGGGTGGTATGTCGTCCGCCCCAGCTTCCTCGTCTCGGAGCTTTTTGTTGGCCCCCCTCGCACTGTTGTGCGCTGGCGTCTTGACGATCAAGGTGAGATCGTTCGTTGCCCGTCCAGCAATCCATCGTTTGTGGACGTGTGGTCATCATCGTCCTCAAAATTCAGGTGACAACTACTGCTGATGTGGGTAGTGGCTGTATTGGTCGAAGAATGGAAATGCTTGCACAGAAGATCAGGGTTGCTCTCGTTTGCAAACTCTGTAATGTTGTCCTCGTTGCCATCCAAGCAGAAGCTTGATTTGCTCTCATGCAATCCCTGCAACGATTCCTTCTTCCCACATTTTAGAGACATCATGGTTTGGAACTCGTCAAAACAGATCTCGCCATCGCCATTGCCATCCACCTGGGCAAGGATTGCATTGATTGCCTCTTCATCGATCACTTCATTGCCTTCGCACGCCCCAAAGATTTGCTTGAGCTCATTTTCTGAGATGCTGCCCGATCTGTCAATGTCAAACTCATCAAAAGCTGCCCGCAATCGCTTCTCTTGGAGACCGTCTGTTTGCATCAGACAGACGCAGACAAATTCCGAGTAGGAAATAGCTCCAGAGTGACTAAAGTTGACTTTTTCAAACAGATCATCAACCTCCACCTCGGAAAGTTTCTTCTTGTAAAAGTCAGCAAATCCTTTTTGGACTTCATCCTTTGTTAGTTGACCGCTGCAGTCAGCATCCAGCACCCGAAAGATTTCATCGATCTCAGCTCGTGCTTCCTTGGACATGAGCTGGCTGGACAACAAAGCATAAGTGGCTTGCTTGAGTTTGGAGTTGGCTTCAAAAGACTCCATTCCTTGCAAGGCTTCTTCAATGCTGCTCCTTCGCCGGGCATCAGAGAAAGCCGCCTGCTTGGAGGCTTCTCGCCCTTTAACAAGCCATGGGTGCTTTAGAGCCTCCGACGCAGAGGGCCGTTGACCTTCGTCATAGGTCAAAAGACATTCAATGAAATCCTTAGCTTCCTCTGAAATGCCATCCCAAACCTCATCATAGAAATCAAAGGAACCTTCATGGATCATGTCCATCATTTCTTCTGTGGTGTCTCCATCAAATGGAGCATATCCAGACAGAGCAACATAGGCAACAACACCACAGCTCCAAATATCAGCCTTGTTGGTATAGTCGCCCTCTAGAACCTGAGGGGATATGTAGTAGGGAGAACCAAAGACATCAGTCATAGGCCCATCATTCGGATTGTGGTGAGTTGCCAATCCAAAGTCAATAAGCTTGATGTCCTCCCATTTTCCATTGTCGCACAACAAGATATTTTCAGGCTTGAGGTCACGGTGGCAGATGCCATGCTGGTGACAGTAAGTTATACAAGACAGCAAGTGGTTCATCAAGGCTGCGGCATCTTCTTCCACCAAGAGCCCATTGCGCTCCAATTCGTCAAACATCTCACCTCCCAGGTAGATGTCAGTCACCAAATAGAAGTTGTCTTCAGATTCATACATGTTGTATTGCTTGAGAATGTTGGGATGATCAAGATTCTTCACAATCTCAAACTCATTCCGCACTTGCTCGTTCTTCTCTTCGTTCGATGGAGATCGAGGCAATACCTTGACGGCTCGTTCGGACCCAGTGGCTCGATGAATGGCTCGATAAACCTCTCCAAAGCCTCCTTCACCAAGCATCTCCATGATTTCATAGTCGTCCTCCAAGTTTTGGTTGACTTTGCGTGTGACAAAGTCCCTGGCTGCGATCTTGATGGACTTGCGAGGCTTTTTCTGGCGCCGTTTGTTTGGAGCATTTTCTGTCATCGAAGGGGGTGACGGCGGATCACAAGCCTTGCGAGGATCCACAGAGCTGTAGCAGCGAAGTGGGAAAGCATGAGAGCTGTGGGTGTTACCGGTAGTTGCCATTGTGGAAATTGAGTTGTAAAGCTGTGTTGGAAGGGAAATTGAGTTGTTCGAAGCTGTGTTGAAAAGGTTGAGTGTGGAGGAGTGGCTTTCGCGTGTGTCCCAAAGTTGTGAGAGGGCTTTGGTTGGATGCATGACGATGGTTGCTTGGTATCGATACCCTTGGCGGCACCGGACAACAACGATTCACATCTTGTTCTATCCCACATTGATCCTGTTTCCCCCATCCGAACGAGCCTTTTACGTGCAGCTTTGGGTCATTGTTCAAAGACCGTCTCACCTAATTGAGATCGTCGCGATGCTTGTCTCAACGTAAACTGGTCCGCACAAGTTCAATTCATGACCCCGGTCCAGAAAGTCAGAATTAAGAAAACTGTAGAAAGGACATTTGACAGACCGGCACAAGCTCCGACATCCAACACCGAACATCCACACATCCGCCAGGACCTATTGGGGCATATTGTCCCACATCTGCACATCCACCAGCACCCTATGTACCAAAGATGCACAGATGCACCAGTGGGTGATTGATTCAGTGGAAATTCACTCGATCAATTTGATTGATTACATGTAATAATTCCCAGATTGAATGATTCAACTTCGGACCAGCTTAGCTCGGCTTTCAAGCAAACAGAATAAAGCCCTTTCACTGCTGGACCAGACCATAACAAGGTTGTTTTCGAGGGTTGGGGACCTGTCAGTGGAGCTGTTACTGTACTGGATCAGCCACTGGATCTCTCTCAATTTAGTGTTGCCGTTTTTCTTTCTCAACCACCATCTTCGAATACTACTAGGCTACAATGTCATGTACGGTAGTCTACATGTAGCCAGCTACCACAAAGGGTTGTTTCGAGGTTTGGGGATACCTGCTGTTACTACTGGGACAGCCACTGGATCTCTCTCAATTTAGTATTGCCGTTTTCTTTCTCAACCACCATCTTCGAATACTACTAAAAGACTACATGTTACATCTACTGGCCAGCTACCGGTACCGGTACTAGCTAGTAGCACTCGATTAGATAGACTACGTGTGTCTATCGGCCCACCCCGCGGTGCCGGTAAGTACATGTATGATAGTGTTACCTAGTGTTACCACTGATATTTATTTTAGCAGCTCTTTTAGACTAGCCCTCTCACTTTTTGCTACATTTTACCGTAGCACGTACTGTTCCCTGTACCGTAAAAGTGAGAAAAATTCAATTACTTAAAAGACTCGACTCTCGACTCACTTGTTCTTTTCACTTGCTTCATACCATTCACTTTTATTAATTAAGTAACGAGATGACGTCATGTATTGCTTTCTTTGTGTGCTCCTCACTCCCACCTCCCACCTCCCCCTCTAGCTAGCTCTAGTAGAGCTGCTAGTAGATACTGTACATGTACTATACGGTGTTGATACCGGTAGCCACGGGAGGTGCTCAACAAAGACAAGACACGGGGATTTTGAGTACGTAGGTAATAGATTGCACGATACAAGACTGTTGCTGGAGGTCAAGCACACCACATGTAGTAGACTAGCAGAACTGTTGGGTACATGTATCCCAACCATAGCATGGGTTCAACCCTCCATTCAAATGAGGACAATGTACTGCACTGGGATACGGTACTATCCAACATCCACGAGCACTTCATACAACTGGATTGGACATTGAACCGAACCGGCAGCTGCGGATACATGTGGGGTGAGACTCAATCTCCCCATCAACCTAGTGGCCTCCAACCAAGCTAGCTACTAGATATCGGGAGGATCAACCTTGTTTGTGTTCATGTCCAAGATACCGAAGACTTATCTTCGCCAAGACGAAGTTGGCCGGTACCGCAGAAATTGCAACAGTTCGTTCTGTCTGCCAGACTGTCACTGCGATACGATTGCAAGCTTGGCGTCCGCGGGCGGCACCTTTGTATCTTCTGTGCAGTTCACTAGCTAGTTGTTGACTTCTACAGCCTTCATCTGCATCTGCGTGCCAAAGACTCTAGACCCACTTCCTACATGTACTTCCGTAATAAAAAGACTTACTCGTACTAGGTTACACCGTTCCATTTTCGTTTCAGCCTTCCTTGCCATGGTTCTTGCGCTGGTTCCGAACTGGGACAGTGAAATGGAGTCTGCCGAGCTCCGCTGCTCCTCTACATCGAGCAAGTATGTAAAAGCGGCTGCTGGACGTAACTGCAGCCAAACCATCCATCGCCCTGTCCTGCATGCACCAACCCTAGTTTTAGCAGTCTTAGTCTATTGCCGACCCACCCTGTTTCAGCATATGTTCGTAGAACGCCGAGTCTCCATCCTCAGCCTTACGCTTCTTGGCGACATTGGCTTTGTACTGCTGCGATCTCTTGGTAGTGGATTGTTGTAGGGCATCAATCTTTTCTTCGTACGTGGTTCCTTTGGATCGTTCCAAGAGTGGAATGTGGACATGTTCTCGCAACCCATGGGAATCCGGCACCAACTTCCATTGGGCCAGCCACTCGAGAGCATTCTTCCAGTCCATCATCATCATCAAGTCCGAATTACTGTCATTGTCTTTTTCTTCTTGTTCAATAGTTTTGACGAACCCCATCGCCTGCTCCCCGCCTTTGTTGCCTCGTTTTTGTTGCTTTTTGTGTCGTTCCGTCAGTTTCTGAATGGCAAACTGGGCCAATTCCCGCTTCCGGACTGTGTTTACTGACGCCAAGAATTGCAAACAGTTGCGTATCCGTGCCGCTTCCAATGTCAATGTCTCCCATTGTTCTTGGAGCTGACACGACACGACCCATAGATTCGGGACGGAATATCCCATGTGCTGCAGATTGGGATATCCACACTCATGCAAGACGAGTGGATACTCGGGCGCCAGTGGATAGCTTGGTTTCCCGGGATGTGTTTCGATATCCAACAGTTCCGTCACGACAGTCGGCTCTTCCAATCCTCGTCCAATCAAGAACATGACGGATACAATGCATCGTATTTGATGCCAGAGAAATGCCTGTCCTTGAATTTCAAAGTAGCAAATGTTGTTGCTGTTGTTGTCGGATGTATTAGTAGTCACAAGTTTGGCACTGTGAATAGTCCGTACAAAATTGCTGACTTCCACGACATTGAGTTTACAAAAATTGCGAAAGTCGTGTTTTCCCACCAACCGTGCGAGTCCTTGTCGCATGGCCTCCAAATTCAATGTAAGTGGATGAAAAAAGTATCGATAGGTCCGTGTGGATGCCGAGAATCGTGCCGAAAACTCATCCGAGACGGGACTCCATGCCAGAATTCGAATATCGAGCGGAAGCAAACTGTTGAGCATTTTTTCGTAGGGGTATTCGGAGAGTTGCTTGGATTGTCGTTGTTGTGATGATGATGTGGCTTCTGTCGTAGTAACTGTAGTAGTTTCCTTGTTTGGTTTGGAATTCTGTTTCTTTTTGGTTTTGGTTTTCGGAGGAACCCAGACGGTGATTTTATCTTGGGCATGTTTGGGCAATCCATCGTTGATAGTTTGAGTTCCAGCTTCGTCCCAAGTGGCATCGAGTGGAATGGCACTTTTGAGTCGCAACGCCAAGACTTGTCCGACGGCACTGACGCCCTTGTCGGTACGACCACAGCGCGAATAGCCACAGGCATCTCGGGAGGGAATCAGTTTGGTTTTGGTAAGGGCGGCAAAAATGTGACGTTCCACCGATTGATCCTTGTCGTCACCCACATTCTGTGCCAAACCCGTGTACTGCTTGCCTTCGTAGTAGACACGGAGGGCAATGTGGCGGGTTCGGTAGGGTAGAGCTGGTGTTTTGGTAGTAGTATTGTCGCTGTTGGGGTTGTTCTTGTCTTGTTGTGGAGTCGAGTGAGTCTCCGTTTTTTTCTTTTCCTCTTGTTTGTTGTTGTCTTTGCCGTTGCTGTTGTTGCTGAGAGTAGAATAAGCATTCTTTACTTGATCGGCAGTGAGGACATTGGTGGTTAAAAGTTGTTGCAAGACATCCAGAGCCGAAATCTTCTTCTTGCCGTTGTTGTTCTTCTTGGTCTTCTTTTTCGGTGGACCCTCTGACAGCCCAAGCTCTTGCAAAATGGGATGCATGTCCTATTAACTATTACTTTTAGCTAGCAATAATTTATTATTTCTGACTGACTGTTCAGCAACTCAATCAATGGGAGCGAAGGTTATTAGACTCGCTGAGCTCTCTTGATGAAGCAGAGGAGGACAAGTAGTTGGGGTTGTGGAGTCGAGTCGAGTCTGTGGACGTTGTGGATCTCGTTGGTCGAATCTTTGAGACGTGCTTTAGAAAGGGTTAAGGCTGATCTTTTTGACACCCGAAACATCATCATCGGCAGAAAAAATGAAGATTGGAAAGATCTCGTCCTGAGGCCCAGTACTCTACGAAGTACGGCAGTAGTCCAAGGCTGTCATGGAACAAGGATACTGTACTGCAGCCATTAGCAATAGGGTAGGCTCCAAGCAGAAGATGACGATAGGAGAGTGAGGATCAGAACGACATGAAGCTCTTTTCTCGTCAGGTCCCATGGTTGAACGCATCAACACTGCTAGTCGCAATGACAATCATCATGACATTGGGTCGACGACAGTTGTTTGGCGTGGCTTTTTCCATTGGGCCCACCAGAGTTGGCAGACCAAGGGGGTTCTGTGGAACCACATTGCCCATCACTACATGTAGGAGAAGCAACTTTCCAAGTGGCAATAGGTCTATTGGATCCAATTTGGGTTGGAAGACGTGTTCTACCAGTACCTCTTCCAGGTTGCATCATCAGGAGAGAACAACAACAACAATTCTATCATCATCATCTGCTAGAGACACGCCACCCAAAATTGAAATTTCTCCATCGGATCACGGTACAAGTCCACTGGAACGATACGACGACAATGACACGCCACTCTTGGATCCGCGATTGATTCAAGCGTTGAAACGAAAAGGCATTACCACTCCAACGCCCATTCAAGCCCATGGAATTCCACTCTTGCAACAAGGATTCGATGTCATGGCCAGTAGTAAAACTGGATCGGGAAAAACACTGCTGTTTGCACTCCCCATTTGTCATCGACTACTGCAACAGCAACAATCATCATCCAAGGGACCGTCGGCATTGATTCTCAATCCGACACGAGAATTGGCCCTCCAAACAGCATCGGCCATTCAGGACGACTTGTTGAGCGGCATCATCAACAAACATAGCAGCAACAAGAAACAAACCATCCAAGTCGCCCTGGCCACGGGAGGAGCCAATGTGGCACAGCAACGCAAACAGGCACAACAATGCGACATTTTGGTCGCCACACCGGGCCGTCTCTTGCAGTTTCTAGACGAACAGAGTATCTCTCTGCAATCGGTACAAGATTTGATTTGCGATGAATCCGATCGCATGGTCGATTTGGGATTTGAAGATCAATTGCGACGGATTGCGCAAGTCTTAAAGAAACAACAGCAACAACGAAATACAAAACGAAGGACCGTCCTCTGTTCGGCCACCTTTCCACCCGAAGTTCAACGGATTGCCGCCGACTTTTTACACCCAGACTATTACTTTATTGCCGTGGGACGAGTGGGAGAAACACCCACGGGAATTGAGCAAACGTTACTGTGGGTAGACGGGGGGGCGGCCGAAAAACGAAGGGTCGCGTTGCGACAAATACAATCCTTTCTCCAAAACAACAACCAAAACAAGAAACAATCTCAGGTCATTGTCTTTTGTAATACCAAAGACGAAGCCGAAGCGGTCGGTGCCGAACTCATTCAAAAAAAGATTGTTCCTCCTTCAAAAGGTGTGCGGGTTGTCACTGGAGACAAGGAACAACGAGAACGCAACAAATCCTTGGATGCCTTTCGACAGGGGAAAATATCCGTCATGGTGGCCACCGATGTGGCCGCCCGTGGATTGGATGTCCCCACGATTGGATTGGTCGTCCAAGTGGATGCCCCACTGGATGTAGACTCCTATACACATAGAGTGGGACGAACGGGACGAGCTGGTTCCAAAGGATCCGCTGTTGCCTTGTTGGATGGGAGGAGTGTTGGAATTGCCCCGGCCTTGGTGCAATTGCTGCAGGAAGCCAATCAACGAGTTCCCGCGTGGCTGCTTGGAATGTCGTACACGAGTCGAGCCAGGGCATTGGAGGAAGAAGTGGCCATTGCAGCGGGAGGTGGATCCTTGGTTGGCAGTAGCGACGATATTGAGGTAACAACTACGGAAGCATCCTTTAGCGAGCAAGACTTTCGAAGCAGTGCTGTTGCCGGATCGTGGGGTTCAGAGCGTGACACAAGCTATCATGACTTTGATGATGATGCGTATAGTAGTTTGGAGGCAGTCGGCGACAACCTACTGGAAGAGAGCTTGGATGGGGAAGAAGAGTTGGGCGATGATAACCTCCCAAGTGATCACGGTGTACGTGGTATTGACTTGGTTTTGGATTCCGAAAATGACCAGGATCCAGCATTGGACCCAGGTTCAATGGAGCAAGCCCCAGCATTTGAACGCCAGCGGCCCAGTAAGAAGCTACTTGAATTCCTGAAACGACTTGATGGAACGAACAAAATAGGACCTAGTCCCCGTCCTGATGTCTTGTCAAAGCTCTCTCAACGTGGTGGCTCGGATCAGTGTCTACGGTTCGAGTATTTGGGAATGTTTCCGTTCGAAGAAGTTTCAGAGCTTTTGATGAACAGGGGTCGTGGCCGGGATCGCGATGATGACAGCAAGACCACAAAGATCTTGATGGTAGCAGAAAAGCCATCCATCGCAAAGGCTATTGCAGACGCTTTGAGGGGCCCCGGAGGTGTGCGACAGAAGCGGGGCATATCTCGTGCGCTACCCATATACGAGTTGACCCTCAAGGGGAATGTGCCGTCTCAGTTTTCCAGCAACGAAGAAAGACTGTCAGGATGCAAAGTGCTCGTGACCAGCGTGGTCGGACATGTATTTTCCCTTGGCTTTGATCAGCAGGAGAATTCTGGCAGAGGAAAAGATCCCCAGCAATATTTTCACATGGACGTAGTCAAGAAATCGGAAGGCATGACCGATAAGCTTCGTGTGGTTGATCACTTGAGGGCGTTGGCGGCAGACTGTGATCATCTTGTTCTTTGGCTGGACTGCGATGCTGAAGGTAAGTCTCTGGCCCACCCTCGCGCTGGCAAGCAACCGTTTTCGTTAAGCTGACCTTCTGTATCATCAAAGGAGAGAACATTGCCCATGAGGTGATCGGCGTGACAAAACGAGCAATGGAAAAGAGAGTGGCCCTTGCTCAGGGAGGAAGCTCAGATGCATCCCCCCAAAGACGCATACACCGCGCTCAGTTTTCTGCCATCACGAGGGAGGCTCTTCAGGACGCCTTTGGCAAGTTGGGCGAGCCGGATGCGGCGCTGTCTCGGTCAGGTAAGATTCCTGCTACCGGTACAGAGCAACGTGCCATTCTTGTCCCCCTCCTCACTCTGGTTCCCTGCAGTGGATGCGCGCCAAGAGCTCGACTTAAGAGTGGGTGTCGCGTTGACGAGGCTGCTGACATGGCGATGTGTGGGGCTAGCACGCCAAAGGTTCTCTCCTGCGACGAAGCTTGTTTCGTACGGACCGGTACGTGGGACGGAAATGCGCATTATCATTACATTGCAGCTTGCCCCTCATTGTCACATTTCCTTGCCTTGCATCTCCCAGTGCCAGACCCCAGCGCTCTCGTTTTGTAAGGACCGTGCCGACGCTATCGAAGCTTTCGTCGCTGAGGAATTTTGGAAAGTCCAGATATCAGCGAAAACACCTGGAGGCCAACAACAAAGTGAGCCAATCAATTTGCAATGGGTGCCACCAGCAGGGAGCACCGTTGTGTCCAATAGAAAGAGAGGACGAAAGGGAGGTGACAATGATGAAAACGCATTCGTTGAGGAGAGTGCATCGTTTGACAAGGACGCCGCACAATCCTTTGTCAAGGCTGCCTCGCAACCCAACTCTGTCGCAACAGTAGTTAACGTGGAGAACGTTGCGGAGAGAATCAGTGCGCCATTGGCACTCAACACGGTAGGTCTGCTTGCGGCTGGATCCAAGGCCATGGGGATGTCACCCAAAAAGGTCATGCAAGTGGCCGAGAAACTCTACAGCGCTGGATACATTTCCTATCCAAGAACGGAAACAACCCGCTACGACCCCAGGGGTTTTGATGTGCGCTCCGTCCTGCGAGCATTCAAGAACACTCAGCGCAGCGAGTTTGCCCCGACTGCTTCCTACTTGCTGCACACCAAGTACTCCAAGTCGGGACGCCCACCACAACGCGGCAAAGATGCAGGAGACCATCCTCCCATTACCTGTTTAAAGGTCGCTACTCGAGGCGAGTTGAATGGGGCCGAATGGCGCGTGTACGACTTTGTAGTCCGTACGTTCCTTGGGTCTTTGAGTGACGATCTGACATTTACTCGGCAGGTAGCGGAACTCGAATTGAACCACCATAATGGCAAGCAGCCACCAGATGGTCGATGCCAAGCAGAGCAGATTCGAGTCGACACGCTTGGATTTGCCGGTGCCTGTCCTTGGGTCCTTCGTGACATTGGTGCCGAGAAGAAACAGAATGGACCAAAAGGCAAGAACGATCCGAAAAAGCACGAGCGAATGACGTTTACCAAAGGCATGAAGCTTTCGATAGCAACTGCCAAACTCGAGCATTGCCAGACTCGTCCGCCTCCCTTTTTGCAAGAGCACGAATTGATTGAGCTCATGGATGCCAACCGGATTGGCACGGATGCCAGTATGGCAGTGCACGTGACCAACATTGTCAATCGAGGTTACGTCGTGCTATGTGATGAGACTGGAACATTGCTTCGTCCCCCCAGACCACCCCGACCGGGTCAAAAGTCACTTCCACGACAGATTGGCCGTTACCTGGTGCCCACATCGTTGGGCATTGGCTTGATTGATCTATTTCAACAACAACCAAACCGTCCCCACAAGCATCATCATCGAGACAACGACGACGACTCGGTCCAGCTGTTGGCCCGTCCCGCCATTCGAGCTCAAATGGAAGATGAAGTCAAGCAGATTGCATTGGGCAAGTTGGACAAGGAGGCTTGTGTGGCCAAGAATCTGGCCTGGTTCGAGGGTCGTTATAAGGAACTGTTTGCATCCTTGTCTCGAGAACGCATCCAGAAGTTTGGCAAGTCGTTGGTCCCAACCAAGACCAGTTTAGGCTATTGGCGGAAACTGGGAGCGTTTGAAGCCCCTGTGGAAGCGCCCAATAAGTGGCGTGGTGGTCCCACCAATTCAAATGGCAAGGCCAACCAGAGTAATAGAAAGAAGAGGTCACCATCCAACAACCAAGGGAGGAACCGACGGCCCGCCAACCAAGGGAAGACCAGTAACCAAAAGGCTGGCAAACGGGGATCTCCTCCTCGAGTGACGCAATAGTGCTAACTAAAAAGAGCTCCATGAATACATATATTATGCTAACTGTGATGATGTTATGATTCATTGTTTAGAGGTAGTATTTTAGTTTGGTGGACACCACCACTTACTTTGGCAATATCCTTCGCCCATCCATACTCTCTAGGTACGTCTTTCCTCCATTACCATTATTGGCACTCACTCCTTGTCACTCGCCATTGTCAACTAACTACTTTATAAATTTGTAAGTAAATTACAACTTGTGAGCATTCAATTGAGCAATTTCTTCATTGCGTGCCTGGATCTTGAGGACATCCTGCCAGAGTTCTTCCTTGAACGGTTCCAATTTCATGCCAGGAGCATACTCCTGTAGATTCTTTGCCTTGAAGGAAAGATCCGAAGCTCTTTTGAGCCTACGTTGACGTCCCTGCTTGACGGCTGGGTCAGCCAATTCCAAAGCTTCACCAATGTCCGGACTGGACGAGTTTAGCAAATCCTCGTAGCGGAGGCCTGTTGTATGGAATTGGTAGAGAAAAGACCGGTGAGTTGAGTGTGAGAAATGGAATCATCCGGCTAGTATCAAGATTCAAAGAGACAAAGCCATCAAAGGAGACGAATCCAATAACTTTTGTCTTCCTTTCATCATCTTATGCATTTCCCATCGATCGGCACTTTCTCGTAGGATTTCTACAGGGACCGACAAGTACGTGTTGTTTTCAGCATAGTTGTTGCACTTACCCATTTTGTTGAGTTCGGTGGCGACTACCCGTTGGTATACGGGTGCCACGACCTTCATGATGGAGTGATAGACTGACATCGACATGGTTGCTGTGTATGTTTATTCTAACTGAAGAGAGAGACAAACTGCTATGAGAAGAGCAGAGAATCCTTGTTGGCTGTTGTTGTTGTCGTGACGACGCGAAGCTCGATGACGTGCCACTCTGGACTGGATTTCGGTTTTTGGTCTGGCTCAGAACCCGTTTGGCCTTCGCGACCACAAAAACAAGAAAACCTTTTTTCTCATTTTTTGTTTTGAAACTTGGGAAAGAAGGTTGTCTAAAAAATTTGACCATGGCCACCCAACAACTCCCTCCTCCTCCGAGTGGCCAGGTCTTATCATTGATCTCGGCTCTATCGAATACGTCCAATCACGATTTACACGTGCAAGCGATTCGAGCACGCGATGACGCCTTGTCGTCGTCTCCCGAGTCGTATGGGAATTTGTGTGTGCAATTGGGATTTCTGCTGGTGGGCTGCGATCAACCGAATACGCTGTGGACGAGACTGAATCCATCCGATTTGCAGCAATGGAAACAGACCGATATGCAGTCCGTGTTAAGACTGGAACAAGACGCATCGCTCTGGATTCCTTTTGGACAAATGGCAGGACTGGTCCTCAAAAATGCGTTGCTACGGCCGCCCATTGTACAACAGATGAAACCACTTTCCTTGCAAGATCCACAAGCAAGTCACGTCAAAGCCACATTATTGACGTGTCTGGCATGTCAACATGCCGAATTGGCCAATGTCGCCAGTTCCGTCATTGCCACCTGTTCGGTATCACCCGATGGCGTACAGCCAAGATTGCACATTTCCGCATGGCCCGAATTGATTCCCACCTTGATTTCCAATCTACAGCAACAGCAACAACAACCAGCAGCAGTTGTCGAAGGATCGCTCACGACCATTCGAAAAATGATGGAAGATGGACCCCGCGAATTGGCACCACACCATTTGGATGCTCTCGTTCCCATTCTATTACGGTTTCTAGCCGCACCCGATGAAAAACCCAAAGTGTCGGCATTGCAGTCCCTCATTGCCTGTCATTCCGATGATATCATGCCATCGGCACTGGTCGTGCATTTTGGGGATTATCTAGCGGGTATTTCTGCTCTGGCAACCGATCCTTCTCCCCTCGTACGAAAATGGGTCTGTCGATCCATTGTCACCTTGCTCGAATTGCGTACCGAATATGTGTCTGGGCATATGGCTGCCATTTCGCAATTCATGTTGCAACAAACCATACAACAACCACAGCAACAACAGACAAATAGTACTACGAGTGACATTCACGTGGCACTGGAAGCCTGCGAATTCTGGTTGGCATTTGCCAATTTGGACGAGGAACAGTGCACCGCCGATATGGCGGATACCGTCGGGAATCTACTGCCACAACTCATTCCCATTCTACTGCAAAACATGGTGTACGGACCGGAACAACGATTGGAATTGCAAGCACAGAATGAATTGGATCTGCAGCAGCAACAACAGCCAAGTAGTAATATGAAACCAGTCTTTCACAAGACACGCAATAAACATGGCAAAGACGACGATTCCAACAATAGTGACGGTGATGATGGCGACGGCGATGACTTTGATGATGATGAGGATGGCAATGAATGGACGCTTCGAAAATGTGCCGCGGCCAGTTTGGACTCCCTTTCCAATTTTTATGGTGCGGCCGCCATTTTGCCACCACTGCTTCCCGCATTGGAACAGGGATTATCCAGCACGGATCCATGGGTACAAGAAGCGTCCATATTGGCATTGGGTGCCATTGCCGATGGATGTCGGGAAGAAATGAATGCACACATGGGACAGCTACATCCCTACTTGATGAATCACTTGGCAGCAGCACAACAGGCGGGATCATTGCCACAAGTCAAGAGTATTGCGGCCTGGACCATTGGACGATATGCCGCTTGGGCGGTCGAACAGGTACAGACGGGAATGCAAGGACACTTGTTGGCACAAATGACGGAAGTATTCATCGAACGATTAAAGGATCAAAACAGAAAGGTCCAAGTGGCATGTGTATCGGCGTTTGGAGTCGTCATGGAAACAGCAGGTGATCTCATGGCGCCCTATTTGGAGCCAGTCTTTCAGGCATTGGTGGCGGCACTGGTACGATATCAGGGACGAAGTTTGGTCATTTTGTTTGATACTCTGGGAATCATGGCGGATTTTGTCGGCCCAGCCATTGCCGAAGGACATCTTCCCAGTATCTTTGTCCCACCGTTGATGCAAATGTGGGATGGTCTTGCCAAGAGTGACCCCACTGATCGGACCTTGCTCCCACTCATGGAAAGTGTGGCTAGTATTGCCATGACGAGTGGAATGAATTATCAACCGTATGCCTTGGAAACATTCAACAATGCCATGTGTATGATTGAATCCGTCACATTACTGTTGGCGACGTCGGGAGACGAGAAGATTGAGAACGATGAAGACGCTGATCCAATTGTTTGCGCCACAGATGTCTTGGATGGTCTAGCCGAAGGTCTTGGTGGAAATTTTGCAGCATTGGTGTTGAGCAGTGATCGATACAGACCTCAATTCACAACCATGCTCCAGACGCTGTGCAACCATCAGGTAGCAGGTGTGCGGATGAGCGCATTTGCCTTGCTGGGCGATCTGGCCCGGAATGCTCCTTCGATTATTGAAGCGGCTCTACCGCAGTTGTTGCCAGAGGCAATATCCAATGTGGATCCCATTCAACCCTCTGTGTGTAACAATGCAGTGTGGGCAATTGGCGAAGTCTGTGTGCGGTGTGGAGACAACCCGGCACCCTTGGAGCCGTTTGCGGCTCCCTTTTTGCAAAAGTTGATTGGTCTGCTCATGGGAAATGGGGTTGTCATGGGATCACCAGGTTCTAGTGGATATCGAGGTTCCAACATTCCCGGACTGGCAGAAAACGCTTCGGCGGCAGTTGGACGGCTTGCCAAGGTCAATCCCAACTTTGTGGCGCCCGACTTGCCACGATTTTTGCTTGGCTGGTGCGATGGTATGGCAAAGATATCAGACCCCGGTGAACGACGGGATGCTTTCGAAGGGTTCATCAAGGCCGTGTACGCGAATCCTCAATGTATCCAAAATGCAGCTGCCAACGTATCTGATGCCATTGCTTCCATCGTGTTTGCTCTCGTATCATGGCACATGCCACCACCACAAGCCGACGATTCAAGCTATGAAAATGTAGCTCAACTGTTGAATGGAGAGTATGCCTTCCAACCATTCCCACAACACGAAGCGGAACTGGGGCAAAAATTGGTTCAACTCGTGAGGGAAATCAGAACTTCTGTGGGGGAAGAGACATGGACACGAGTACAGAATCAGCTACCTGTCAACGTCAGAAGGCTGCTTCGGGAAGCGTATCAGCTCTAATAGACAATAATATAGAGTAACCGAGCCATCGTAGGTTCCAATTTTGCAGGCTGTTAAACTAACTCTATGTGATATCATTTCAAACCAAGAACCATCATGCAAACGCATCCCGCTGATAATAGATTACAACCGAGATTGCAGTTTTTCGTCCAGGAATACAATGACTCTTGCTTCGACTGATTCTCGAGGCCTTCCCTTGGGCACCGTGGAATCATGAAAGCTGGTGTGGAAACATGGCTTGACATCATCTCCCCAAGCAGAGTCGTAGCCTACCCACACGAGACATTCCTTGAAGCCTAGTGCTGGCCAATAAAACCATTCGTGAGTAGGAGAATCTTTGGCCTGTAAGATTGTAAATTCGTACTGGGAATTGTTGTATCCTGTGACTCTCCTTGCCACTAGATCTGGCGTTTGGATGGATCGAGGATGACACAAAGCCAATGTGTCGTTTTCAATGACAGTGTCTTCTGGTTGGGCATTCATCCAAAATTGAAGTACAATCACACGTCCCGCCCTCTGAAACGACTGCACAACCTTGCCGAGCCTGGGTGAATCCCTTGGCAGGCCAAAGTAGTCGCTTATAGATTTCATGTTTTGATAGGAATCCCATGCATAATCATTGTGTACCATGGCATGGGGTGTTGCACCCGAACTGTGATCGCGTGTGTCCAAGGAGCTGGCTGCTGTTTGACGGCGAAGATACGGCGGGGTAAAGTGAGCGTAGAAGGGTGTCAATCCAAAGCGATCTCGAACGAGTTTGGTTGCCAGTGGCACAACGAGTTCTCTCGTGGCGTAGAACCGATCGCGAGGCCGCTGGAGGGTGGCATAGTCAGGACGGGAAATTCCTTGGAGGAGTTCAAATCCATCTTCCTTCAGATGGAATTGGGACGCACGTCCATTTCGGATCTTCTTTGGTTTGGGCACCAACAGTGTCTGGATGGTTCGGGCAGACGAGGAGGAACCCAATCCAATCAGAATACGTTCCTGGACGAGTGGGCTGATGTAGTTCAGAGGCGCTAGTTTCGTTGTCGACTCGAACGTCATGGTTTCTTCCAGCACAATTGCCAACAATCGATGGTGCCCTTGCCTTCTGCTGCTTCAATATCTTGTGCTGATGCCATTTCCTTCGCCGCTCACAGACCGTGTTCCCATGTTTGCTTTTGGCAGGAAGAGAACTAAGATATAAGCCCATTGAGCTGTCTATTCTACCGGTACAGTATACCGGTACAGTACATCGTACCAGTACCGGTACAAGTAATAAGTGCAACGGTACCTGTCGCTGTCAACTTGCAGGTTGTGTTTGCTTGGCTGGAAGGATACTGTAGATCTACATGTAGTCGTTTGCAATGTCAAGCAGGAACCCAAACACTCGTCGCCGAGGCCTGGTCAAGCGAAAAGAGTTTATTCAACATTCTTCGTGGGCGGCGGCAAACGGCGTGCAAGTGCCAGCTAGGATTACTATAGTATGTCCCTATTTTGTCAAGTTAGAGTATCATGTCTGACTCCCTGAGCTAGCCTGGGTTGTCCTCCACAATGGCACTCTTTCGAATGTTTACTTATTACGCACTCTTTAGGAGAAGAGGTTCTTTACTTATGCATAGACAGTGGCTTACCTGGTGGTAGATGAACATCATGCAACACCCTCCTCCCTCGGCTCCCTCCCCAATCCCCACCACCCACCACCTTCCCTCCCCGCACTGCTGCATGCTCCAGCAAGGCTGCAATGTGCAATCCGAATACAGCTTATGCACAGCTGCTGGAGGGCATTAGTCTCCGTGAATTAAAGCTGCATGCCCGAGTAAGTCTGCACACTACTCACCATCGTCCATCGTTGCAAGAGTGAATTTTGAAAGCCAAAACAACTCTCCAGTACCATTGAAACGATTAAAAATAGAGATGCTTGGATTGAGTGAGGGGCTCTTTGTGTTGACTTGATGTACAGTACGTGATCTTACACTGGGACTTTGCGGTCAATGGGTACAGCGTTTGTTTATTGAGTCAATGCCCCAGGCAGCTGGCGAGAAAGGAGCTGTTAAATAAAGAAGAGACGCTTTGTGAAAGCGTCAATCGGCAATCGGTGGCTGCGCGATTCCCAGACTGGACGAGTTTCATCTGTTTCAACAACGCACGGAGCCAAGCATTAGCGCAGAAGCGCCAACCGAGCACAGACGCAACGCCGCAGCCAGAATGCACAGAAGACCTGCATCGCTGATGAAACAGTATCCGGCCTTGATATCATAAACTCGAACAACAACAGCAAACAAACTAATCCAAGCAAAAGAAGATGATGCCAACCATGGACCAATCCAGCAGCAGCCAAACCGATGCCACCTACATTCCGCTCTCCCAAAGCCCAGAAGATCTCGAAGATGATGCTCCAGAACAGGAACAGAGCTCGTCATCGTCGTGTTCTATTATCACAGAGGTCTGCCTAGTAGTTGCAATAGCTGCAACTCTGCTGATCCTTTCCGTGGTGAATACCGTCTCCCCAACACCTCCCGCCAACAGCAACATCGTACCAACCTTGATTCAGCAAAAGTTGCGCAGTGATACCGGTAGTCAACCAGTACCCGCCGTCACTACTCTTGGCTACAACGACAATGCCCTACAAGAAATCTGCGAGGAACAAGTCGTCCGAACGCTCTTTGCTCCTGGACCGGACGGCGACGACAATACTGAAATCCCTACTCCCGCTTCCTTTTGTTATGCCTTTTACCAAAATGTGCTCAAGGAAACGGAACTCAAGCCACACACCGCCGTGAGCCCCGCCAAGCAAAAGATTATCAACGCCATGGTCAATAGTGGCGACTGTATGAAACTGCAGCCTGACGATCTTGTCTCCAGTTTGGATGATCCCGATGCCTTTGCCAGCGGCTTTTGCAGTCGTCTCAATCTGGTGGTCGACAGCAGTACTCACGTCAAGGAGATAGCGGATGATGGCAACAAGGATCTTCGAGGCGTGTGCCAAGCACAAGCCATTGAAACCTTGGTCCAAGCCGAGGGCGCATTCACATCCAAAGCCATCTTTTGCCCTGCGTTTTACAAACAAGTCATCAAGACGCTCACCAGCGAAACATCCGTTTTTAGCCCTGCCGAGGATGAGCGGTTCTATCGAGCCCTTGACAGTGGTGCCTGCTTGACCATGGCAGAGGAAGATCTGGCATTGAGTCTGGAGGATCCAGATGCCTTTGCGGCAAATCTCTGCACTGCCGTGCTTGGTCTGTAACTAAGAAGAGTCTGACTCGAACATCACTTCCTTCCTTCCTTCCTTCCTCTTCTACATTCATTCCACTGCTACACATTACATTCATTGTAAACTAATACTACTAGGGACTTTCCATCTTCTTCAAAAGCGAATCTATGTAGCGTGGAGTTAGCTATCGGGTTGCTGCACCGAGCCCTGCATACCGGTAGTGGTGCCTACAGGACCACAGTTTCAGCGAGATACCGTACCAACCGGTCTATGGAAGCCTGTCTGGAGGATCCAGATGCCTTTGCTGCCAATCTCTGAAGTGTGAAATTGGATCCCTCTCTTCTTCTACGGTATTAGTGCATGCCACTGCTGCACTTTTGCTCGTTGTAAACTACGGTACCGGTACGGTACATCTGTACTAGCTAGGGACTTCCCATCTTCAAGCGCGATCTTGTCAGAGTACGGTACAGTACCCCCCTTCAATCTCAGTAGGTACCATACTTGGCTTGTAGTAAGTGTCAAATTGGATCCCTCTCTTCTTCTTCCGGTACATTCCACATGCATTGTAAACTACTAGTAGCTCTAGGGACTTCCCATCTTCCTCACGATAGCTGGCTAGCATAAACAGTTCAATGCATAACAGAGATAATTTATGTTGAGATTCTGTAGCCAGAGGATCATTCAGGCATAGGCAGAACCGCAAGAGTACGTAGAGGAGCTGAAAGGGCGCACGCGGCAAGAGACGAAGAAAAGGTGCCCGAAGATGCCGATGCGAGTGTCATGCCATTGGGTACGATGTACATGAAAGCAAATCTCGGTGCAACCAGACTTGCACAAGCTGTGGTGTGCAGGGACTGCCAGGAACGTGCTTGCTCTGTTGCTTGCTCATCAGTGTCCCGTGAAAAGTGGCTGTTCACGTAGAAAGATTCAATCAACCCACGTGACGCACGTTCATACCAATGCATTGCAAAAACTGATAATCCATGCACCAAGGTAGCAAACCAAAACAGCACAGTGTGTGCTACTCTACTCAGCTCCCCATCATGGTGCGCTGATAAAAGTTCAAAACACCGTCCCAGCCTTGTGCCGCTTCATTGTCGTCCAGGATACCTGCAGCCGACAACGGTTTCTTTGCTGCTACGTCTGGTTCTTCCTCCATGCCATTGCTGCCGCCCTTGGCGGAGCGTGAGTTTCGAAAGCTCACAATCCCCTCCCAACCACAGGCGGTATCGTCATCGTCAAGGATGTTGCTCTTTGTTGGGTTGGAGTATGGCACAGCAAGCTGGAGTTGATTTGTAGCGAGCTGGGGTTGATTATTTGTAATGGAGGTGATTGGATTCATTGCGGTAGCTCGTGGTCGAATCGGCGAGGGTGCCCCATGGCGGGCAAATGAGAGTGGCGACAGTGCAGCGACATCAAGTTGTCCTACTAGAAGTGTCTCCCCGGCCTGATTCGGAGGATTCGTCGTCCCGTGTTGACTGTTCGTCTTTGTCGAAAGAAGCTGCTTTGCGGTGGGTAACTGCTGAGGCTGTGACTGATTCGCAGAGGACGTCGCTGCAATAGTGGAATGTTTTGTAGTCAAGGACAGTTTCGTCGCAGCGGAATGCCCTTTCGGCAGAAAACACGAGATTGCAGAGAGGTGTTATTAGCAGAGCGCGCGAAACCGCTGAAGTCGCCCACTCTAGAACTCACCCGCAACACTGTGATCTGCCATTGTCACTTCCAACACCTTGGATCCCGGTCCTCTTGCGGACGTAGGTTGCTGCATCGTAGTATCGGCAGGAAGCTGGGCAACTACCGCGGGACCTGTGGCTCTCTTGGCTGCGACCGATCGTGCCGTGGTTGTCGTCGACTTTTTGACTGCGGACTGTCCCTTAGTTTTGGTCGGCGTACGCTGCGACCCCGATCTCGCTCCAGTGAGAGAGTGACGCTGATTGGTGGCGGAGACAAACTTTGCGGCAACGCCTCGTGGCGGGCCCTTGTTGGAATCGCGTTTGGAAAGTGCAGCGACAGACTTCTTCTTGGGGGACGACGAAGCCTTTGGCTTTGCAGGAGACCGCTTCTTGGTTTGACTTGCATTCGCAGTCTTCTTCGTCGTCGTAGGTTTTTTCTTTGTCGTCGCCTTCTTCTTGGTTGTCATGGTGGTTGTTGCCTTTGGATCGTGTGACGACGCATCGGGCGACTTTCTCTTTTTGGTTGTTGTTCGTTTGGGAGACACAGCTTTTGGGGGGACAGCTTCGACCATGCATTCCTCCATAGCCAAGGATTCTCCCTTCCAATCTACATCAAAGTCAATGCGTGGCAGTTGACAGCCTTCCACAGCCGACGCCTGGCACAAGATGGTCAAGCGTTCAGCATTGCCATTGCGGGACTCGTCGTCGTGGTCGTTGTCGGTAACCTTCTGGCACCACTCTGTCACTGCTTGATCAAAGTTGGCATGTACTCGAAGTCCTTCTAATGCGGCTGCTTCGGACAAGATTTCCAAGAACTCTGGGTCTTCCTGGACCACGACGAGAAGAGGAGGATCGGACGTGTTTTCAGGTCCAATCGCGGTCGGTGTTCTGTCAGTTGTCGTTGTTGTTGTTATTGGTGGTGTCGTTCGAACACGACATGAATTCTCTTGCTGATTGTCTCTTGATACACCTTTGTTGTCTTGGGTGAATGAAACTCGCCTGTCGGAGGCGCTCACTCTCTGAAAGGCCCCAAAGGCTGTTGTCGCCGTCATGGACGCCATGTCATTGGCTGCGTGGAAGTAAAATGGATTCATCCCCGAGACGACAATCGAACTGTACAAAATTAAAGCTTTCAAGGCCACGAAGCTACACCAATCCACTTGAATAAAGCCAACAAGAACAAGCTTCAATGCCAATGGCCATTGCCAACAAGCAGGACAAGTGCTAGTACTACGGTATCGGTAAAGTCGAGTCGAGTCCGAGTCCAGAAGAAAGTGAGATTGCGTGACGAGACGTTTGGAGGTGCCCTTGGAAGACGGCAGAGCTTTTTTGACACCTCATTTGATTCTACTAGGGTTAAAGTCAACTTGTGGATTTGAATCGTACAATTTAACCGTTGATCGCCGGACCTCCTTCGTTCCGTCGTACGAATGGTTCAAAATTTGATTACTTACAGACATTTGAAAATGAGAATTGCCATGCGGGCTGAGGGCGACCTTCAATTGGCGCCAATCGAACAAAGTGCATGTGGAAGGTGCTTTCTTGAGGTCTGGTGGGTCCTCCATGGCGAAACAGCGGGACGAGTAGACGACGAAAGAAACAAGGCGTTGTGTCGAAGAGTCCGATCAAGTGAACAGGCGTAGCAGAGTTATCCGAGCAGGTGAAGAAGAAAAAGTCCGATCGAAGTTGGCCGAAAAATTGGGTCAAGAGTTGACGATGGTGGAAGAGGGTCCACGGAAGATGGCCGAAAACCGCAATCGCAAGCAATACAGCCACCAAAGACCGTATCATCGTCCACTTCAGAACTATGCACCCGTTACGCCTCGACAAGTACCACCACCGCCGCCACCACCCATGAGGGACAATAGGACACGTGGTGGATCATTCGGCATGATGAATTTTGTCGAGAGTTTCATGTCGCCTTTTACGCAGTGTTGGCAGCCGCCCATTGATGCGTGTGGAACAGGAGACTATGCGGATTATCCGGGCTGTGGTCCAACACCGCCGCCGCCAGTGGCTACAAGAGGACCACCACCACCACCACCCCCTCGTCCACCTGCTGCCTTGGTCACTCCCATGCCGGCGCCAGCTGGTGCATATCCGTATCCCACAGGCCCGCCGCCTCCTCCTCAGGTTCACTACGGGGGACAATCTCCACACGCGCCTCGTGAGATGATGTTCGTTGAGAGACCAACAGACAAGGATGTGCTCTGTGGCAGGGGTGGGTCTAGCAACAAGCACAACTTGCACTTTAGAGAACTCATTGCGGCCAACAAGGCTACCTATGTCACGCTCACCAAAAAGCAAAAGATGCTCGTTTCCAGACAGGTGGTAGAAACCATACACAGGGCAGGTGGCAGATTCTTGGCCAAGGATAATGCCACGGGGATGTGGAAAGATATTGGTATGTCTCGCAGCTTGGAGAAGGCTTCCCAAGCCCTGCGAGAAAAGACCACCAACATGACGGCATCAGATGCAGTGGTAGTAACCGAAGACTGTGGCGGCATTGAAACCATGTCCACGCATTCGAGCAGTACTGTCACTAGCAACAACACTCCAAAACCAAGCTCCAAGACGATTGAAGCACCACCCTTGATCATTCCGCCTATTTTGCAAGATGTTTATAAACCAAAGATGGCTCCACCGCCTGGACTGGATACACCCGTGTCTCACCCTGCTGCTACTACTACTAGATACCCCTACCATCCATCGGATCGAGTCCAGTCCATGCCGGCACCACATATGGGTGCCTATCCATTTCACAATCGTCAAATGTCCCGATTGAATCAACATTCGCGATCGTTTCCGCATCCCAGTGAGGCCAGGGGGCATGCAGCTCCCATGGTATCTCCTGTTTCGCACGGCATGTCGTGGCAACCACAGCATCCTGGGGCATATCATCGTCATCACCCCAGTCCGACAATTCACAATCGAAAGTCGTGGGACTATCATCAAAGTGACGTCGGCAGCTATACGAGTGACAGCACTGCCACACACTCGACCGCCGAGTTTCGCCAATACTCCCACCATCCGCCTATCGCTCTGCAGCACTCACATTCTCCTCCTCACCAGGAAACAGGTCAGCATATAAAGAGACAGCGAACCAATGAAGAGGAGCGGGAACTGGAGGAAGATGAAGAGGATGTCATTCTTTTTGAAGACAGTAACAATACTATTTCCCTGAAGGATACATCGCTGGAAGAGGGATCTTTACATTTACCAGCCCAAGTAAAGTCAAAGCTATCGTTGAAGGACCGAGTTATTTCCCCGGCGGGGATGGTCTCTCCCTCAGGGATGATGCAAGGTCGCACGAGACGTCATCACCCACAGGAAGCACCCGACAGTCCTACCATTCCCACGGGCACAGCTACGGCAACGGAATCCAAACTCAACACCAGCGCCGAAGCGGAGGGACTAGCAGGGCTGGCAGCCTTATCGACGGCCGCCTTTCTTCGCATGGATGAAGGGGAGTAGGATTGATCCAAGCCAAGTCAAATCAAAACCAAGCAACATATATACAAAAAAGACAAGCTTATATATATATATTGTTCTATGCTCTATGTGTGTAACCAATAAAGTAGAATAACAAGAATCAGTACTATTGATATCACATTACAGTATCATCAAGAGGAAGAGCATTGCTACAGGTACCAGTCACTGAACGGACAGAGTCAAGTCAGGTACAGTAGTAGTATGTTTATAAATTAATAGTGAAATTGGTTGCCCCCCTTCTCCATCCCTTAGAGAGCAGCAAGAAGTCATGTACATGTAGCAAGAAATCATTCATCCAACATGAACTGTGCAGTGCATCTATCTTGATACCGACCATGAAGCTTTGATTTGAAGTCACCCGGTTAGTCTTCGGCCTCCTTGTCCAAACTAATGACTTGCACCATGGCAGTTGATTGCATGGTGGGACAGTGCGATTCCAATGCCCATAGGGTGGCAGCTGCTGCGGAGAGATAATGCCAAGCGGAGTGCAGCCAAGCATAGCCAGGGAGTGGGATACTCAGGAATGCCAGTCCAGTAACACCCAGTGCCCACACTCGAGGGGATGGCTTGCCACAAGTGTGAAAAAAGTAAAAGGTGGCTGTCCCTGCAACAGCATGATCCAGATAACACAGGCTGTTGGACAAAGCATAGGATCCCAACGCCTGTTCCGTGTGGAAAATGGTGCTAATCACGCCAGCACTGAGGAGTAACAAACCCAACCAAGTTTGTTGTGTGGGAATCAATTTCATAGTCAAGAGCCGGTCTTTGAATCCAACCACGGCTGTGGTTGTCGCTGCCAGTACGGACGAGGCCCTTCCCACGCTCTCGTTGATTGTCGTTGTCTTGGAGGTTTCTTGTTGTTCTGGTTTTACAAAAGGGAATTTCTTGACCAAGTAGCCACCACAGAGGAAGTATGCAATGTTGGAAGCGAGAAAGTGGCCAATGACTAAGGCTGCATCAGGAGATTTCAGAATATAATCCATCTTGGTAACCGGCCACCAGTGTGGCATGGCAGCATCTCCAATTCCCAGGACAAAGGTGGTGTAGAGAGGGACGAGAGCCAAAAAGGAAGGTAACACCCAGTAGTACGTCTTGATGAAAAACAACACCTGATCCAATGCATCGTTCCAGTTGAAGAATGGAAGAGACTGTGTGGCAGTCTTAAGCTTGCGAGTGGTCACTTGCAAAGCGGACCCCAGAGCTGTCTGAGATGACTGCGCCACCAGCGCTCGTTTGCTGCTTCTTGCGGTGGCTGTTGTTGATGCTGCTGTATCCGTGGATGTTTCTGGCAATCGGAAGATAGATCGAAGCTGAATGCATTCAGACTAGAGGAATACTGATAAGCGGTCACCGTGGGGTTCTCGCGTGTCGAAGCAAGAAAAGAATTCTGATTGATGGGGCAATGACTCGAAGGAATCTCTGCACCTGAGGCATGATACCCTCTTGTCACTGGCTTGATCACATCGGCAGAGTGAAAGGCATCTGCTGATAATAAGCAGGCAAGAAGCACCAAGAGTCCTCTGACAGATTGGGCGTTGGTCATCATGGTTTGATGTATGATGATGTATTTTCCTATTTCGAAAAGAAAAGAAGTGAAATCATCGCCAGATGTGGCGTGGTGCAAATTTCCCAAGGCTGCGTCGATTCGAGAATTCAATTGATGATTCGAGTCATTCGATTCGTGGTGTCGACGTACTACTTTTACCGTACACCCGGTACAGCAGTACTGTATGTAGGACCGAGCCGTTGCCACATCATCTTCTACAGTGCACCAGCCACACCGGAAAAATTGAACCGATTGGACCAGCACGTTCGCTGTCCAGGTAACGGACAAGCCAAGCACCACTGGGAAAGCATACAAAAGCTCGAAGTACCAATAGCAAGCCCGCTTCCTTTTCATCACGGAATGCAGCCCTGCCAGTCATCGCATCGATAGGCGCTGTAGCCGTTGTCTCTTACTTTAGGTAGGGTATGATGCATGCGATGGTACCCTTGTTGGGTACCGGTACAGGCGGTCGTAACAAGCAAACACAGGGATTTTTAGCTCACCTCTATGATACCGCTACAACAAGAAGAGGTACACGTACGGTAGCAGTGGAAAATGGAGTCTGAGATGAACCTGATAACGGTTTTACAATGTAAGAGCTAGCTTGCAAGCTAATACAGTCATACAAGTGTAGTGTAGAATATTCCGTAGCTGGCCAGTAGTGGTACATGTAATTCATGGCGAGTCTTCAAATTTAATATCAATTACGTACCGGTACTGCTCTTTATACATGTACATGTATGTATGTATGTTGACCCGACATCCTAGCTAGCGGTAGAATCTAGCGGTGCCCGACCTCTCTTTCTACAGCTTCACCGGATTGCCATGTTGACCTTTTAGAGCTCGAGTTCTCAACAGCCAATCAGAAGGCTCTGAGACTGAGTCATCCATGCTTTCTCTAAACTTTCCCACTTTTCCCAAGCAAACACTATCTCACGCTTACATCCAACCTTTCTCCACACCATTCGTCTTCAACAATGAGGTGGAATGATGAATCAGGTACAGATTGTCTTCAAGGTTGACCAGCTATACCAATGATGATGGAGCCAAAAAAAGTCGCGTTGGCAGCTTTCATTTGAGGCGAAAACTAGAATTTTTCTGTCCACAAAAAAAGAAGAAGAGGAACAATGACAATACCTCTTTGGAAACTATCGCTTCTTCTTCCTGTCTGGGCCAACTTATTGGATTCTAGTTGGGCATTGATTGTGTCGCCACGGCCAACAGCAGGTTTGACAAATCCCTATACCGGTACCGGTAGCAGCCAGGACCAATCTCTGGAACAGTCCTTTTCTGTGGCAAGAATACGATCGACCCGCCGACCCGATGTAGAGCCGGTGGCGGACCTATTGTCCTCGGCCATTACGGGAGATGCGTCTGGTTTCAAGGCGCGAGTGGAGAGGCTACGAATCAAGTCGTCTGTCGAAACGACTCTGGACCTACGAGTGCGAGCCATTCAAGAGGGAAAACAACACTTGAGTCAGGCGGTTGCGACTCCACCAGGCGAAGCCATCAATGAAAAATCGGATCATTTGAGGTTTCTGTGGTCCAACGAATCGTTTCGGAACAAGATTGCGCAAGCAGCAGAGCTATCCAGTGAACCTCATCCATGGGGATACCATAATTTTGCCATGGCACCAAAGGACCCGAACTGGTTGAGGCATGAAATGATTACTGCTGAGTGCACGAGAACCGGAGCAATCGTTGGATTCTGTGAGATTGCCATGCTCTTGAGCCCACCTCAGACAGCGCCCCCACAGTCGTATGGCGATAGCGGAGGCGGCAACGAGGAGGAAGAATACTATACAACAAGATGTCTGCCCACCATTGCCAACCTTGTCGTATCTCCTGAATGGAGAAGGAGAGGAATTGCCAAGGGACTGATTAGGAGTGCGGAACGAGTTGTGGAAAGGAAATGGAAGTCAGACGAGCTTGGATTGTACGTTGAAAAGCGGAACACAAAAGCCATCTACCTTTACTCAAATGCTGGTTTCCAGGTCCAAGCGTCGCTGCAAGAAGAGGACAACCCTGACAAGTGGTACATGTGCAAGGAACTGAAGACCCAATAGCGGCTACGGGGCTTGTAGCCAGTCCTAAATGCCAATAGGCACAATTTTGAACTCTCAAGACTAGCCAGAAGTCGCAATGTGCTCTGGGCAGGAGTATCTTATGTGCACCCTGCCCATGATACCGGTAGGCTGCCAGTGGAATGAAGGTGTACGCAAAAGTGCTGCAGAATCTGGCCATGGAAATCCTAAAATAATTTGCCGATGATAATGGCTGCCCGTGAGATGAAGGTGTCTGCAAGCTTGAAGTGAAAATGTCCTGATTGCTCATTTACACGCGCCCGCTGAAAGTTGTGTTTTCTCTGGGCATCGTAAGGTGGCTGTCTAACCACCCCTGATGGATCTGTTGTCGGAATCGAATCCTGGTCGACATTCGATCTTCCCGCGAACGCTTATCAAAAAGAGTTTACGGTTCCACACTGGCACAAAACTAGCCAGCTTAACATCGCAATGCTCAGCAACTAAATCGACGGCAGATAAGACCAGCGATTGCTCCAAAGTTCTGCATTGGTGGGAAGGGGGCCGTGGTGCACAGGCAACTGGGGTGGCAAACTCACCCACTATGTGCAGTGCCACAACCTAAAATACTTCAAGAAAGCCAAAAACACTTCAGCAGAACCGGAAGCTTGCTAGCAGTTAGACCTTCTGTTTCCACTCCATAGTCTACTAACTCAAAAGCCTCCACCGTCCTTCGCTTCAACAAGGCTCATATCCATCGGGCTTTACGTCCACACTCGTATATCGCAAACTAGCCTCTTACGGTACAGCACAATCCTCCTCAAAAGTCCAACACGCTGCCAATCATTCGACCTCCAAGCTCTTGCAATTCAGCTTCGATGCGGCACTCCACTTCATCCGCGTTGCTGGCGACACCATTGTTATTTTTGTTGCTGGTGTCGCCTGCGAATGGATTCTTTTGGTTTACTGGAGCGCTCATCATCATCATCATCGGACTCTCACTGTGAAATCCACCAGGCACAAGCGGTGCATTGTTCCAAGAAAAAGGCGAGGGTTCTGGAATCGTGCAGGTTGTGGACGGTGTTGAAGGAACCAGAGAGGGCAGTTCGTTATTGTTGCGTACAGGGGTAAAGAGATCAGATGCGGTACTGTGGTTGTTGGTCAAAGCAGGTTGTTGTAGCTGTTGTGGTACACGAGCAAAACCCGGTGGCGCGGACAAACCAGGTGGGGGACGAACAGGCCGCTTTGGTGTACTCATGCTTCCAAGTTGATTCATGGGTGGTGCAGCAGTCCTGGTCGACGTGTTCCACAGACCCAAACCATCACTCTCAGTGCGGGGACCAGTTGGCATTTGACTGTAAGACGTAACAAAGGGATTTCCGGTTGTGTAGCTTTGGGCAGGCGCAGGTGTAATAGAACTTGTTGCACCGACTTTCGTTGGTTGCAAAACAACAGGAAGAGCCGGTAAAGACCACGAGGAAGCCCCAATTTCACAAGAGAACAAGGACTGCGAGTATGGCGAGAAAGGCGGCAAGCGGCTGTTGTTTTCGTCGTTGCTGTTGGTTGCATGGCCACTAATGAGAGTCAGGTTGTTGCGTTCCGTGTTAAGCGATGGCGAAGCGATGACAGGAGACCCAGAGATAACAGTTGTTGCGTTGTTGGCCCGGGGAGAGGGAGTCGTTGAAACTAGCAAAGTGCTATCAAAGGTTGTTGGCACTGGCGACACGGTTCGAGCGGCCTTGGGTGGAGCTGGCTGTGCCTTGTTTGTCACGGCTTTCTTTCCCTTGGCACCACGAGTCGCACGAGCATTCTGAGCACTATAGGTTCCCTTAGCAGCGGCTGGAGCGGCAGCAGTCTGTTTGGAGCTGTATTGGTTTCCGAATCGATTATCAGTCATGGTGAATTTGGGCACGGGCTTGGCCATTTTCAGAGCTTCTGCCCGAGCGGCGTTGGGAGCTGGTGGTGGCAATTTACCACCACCAGCCTTTCCTTGCTTTTGTCCCTTGGTCTTGCCATTGCTGTTCGTCTTTGCTGCTGCAGATTTACCTTTACCTTTGGGTGGCGAGGTGACGACCGCACGATTGGAGCGGGGTGTTGGCTGCTGCTGTTGCTGTCCAGATCGAACCGAGAAAGACGAGCACGAAATATCATCCGACATGGACGTGGTATCCACGGTACAGACAGAGGGCACAGGAGTTCTCAACTTGGCAGTGTCACAGGTTTCATCCGAGCTGACAACCGATTCCAGTGCGGACGGTGACGTCATGATGCTACCTTCCTCAAAACAAGACGTGCTGGTGGGTGGTGCGGGTGCAGGCGAATGCACAACGTTGACATCACCGCTGCTGCTTCGACTAGCTCCATCCGATGCGACTTCTTCTACCTTGGGTAATCGTAGAGCATTGTTGTTGGCGTTGCTGCTACTGTTCCCGGCCGTTTTTATCCGTCCTCGTGCATTATTTTTTCCCTTTCGTCTACGTCGTTTCTTTTCCGCGCCACTGGAGCGACGCTTGGTTGAGCTGGTTGCGGCAGTCCCACTATTATTCTTGTGGTGGGCGACGCAGTTGGACAAGAAAGCTTTGTGCATGGCAATAGCGACAATCAGAACCAGGATAATGGATGCGGATGCAGACACAGTCCCCACGACCACTCCATAATCCCGTATCATGATTGCCCAACACGTGGTAGACGATTGCAAGATGGAAACCATAGTGTCGCTGTTTGTTTGAACGAATTCACGCGGTAGATCCAAGGCCAATTTAGTACAACAAACGTGAGCGAGAGACGAGGCAAGGGAGAGGGGAGAGAGCACGAGTGGGTCAGAGGACGGTTCTGCAGGTGTGACATCCATGTCCGCGAAACGTGCTTTGATGTGAATGACTCCCAGCACGGCTCCATCAAGTGAAGGAGAGGGGCAGCTAGCTAGATAACCTCAAGGGGAGAGGGCTAGCTAGCTGCCACGGGAGTCATCACCATGCAGTCGCAGCCAAGCCCTATCATCAGAATGAGAACTCACCGTATCTTGCGCAACATGATCCATGTCATGCCATCCGGATGAACGACCAAAGCGACGACGGTGAGTATAGCTAATGCCACCAATCCCGGCGGTGGCCAGGAGCCATCGTTGACTACTTGTTTGTGGTGATGATGAACATGACAAAGCGAGTTGGGAGAACTGGCACAAGCGGTACAGGTAGCAATCGCCGCCGAGTTTCCCAGTAGCAGCGATTGTAGCAATAAAAAGTACTTGCGGGGTCCAGACACTGGGGTCGTCTCGTTCTCGTCGTTGTGGTCGTCGTTGGCCACCACAAGCGACCGCAGAGCCGTCACGACGCCTTGAAGCCACAGCAGCATCATCGAAAAACAAGTCAAGATATCCCAAGAAGCAGTAGTGCTGTCCACGTCGATGAAATCCAGCGTCGCCGATTCCTTCTTGTTGCCGTCAGTAGTAGTAGATGCAGTCGTAGTAGATGCAGTGCTCGTCGTCGTTGTTGTTGTAGTGATAAGGGTAGGATTGCTGTACGAAGTGGTAGTGGAATAGAATTCCGAATAGAGCAGAGTGGCGGGGTGATGCCCCTTGACCAGCTCCGCCTGAATCGCTATCGGCGCCATGAGAAACTTCTTGGAGTTTTTCTTGATACAGAGCTGCTTGTTACTTGTGTCTTTAGCTTGCTGGTTTCAAATGATAAATGAGATGGCCACCACAAGAAAACCTCAGGCACTTTTATGTGCGTCGCTATTTGGTTCGATTCAATTCAAGTATCGCTCTGCAGATAATAGCAATAGCAATAGCAACAGGGTATATACTATCTGGCAAACAACACAGACGCCTCAATGGCTGTTATAGTTGCTGTGAGAACAGACACAGCTCTGTGCTCTTGCTGCACTCTGTTGGTTGTTGTGGTACAGGTACAGGTATCCAAACCAACCAACTGTGTCTGCCTTGATCAATGTCCGCCAAGAAGAGGGGGGTTCTGTCGCTTTCTTTCTTGTCGTTCAGTGGTGGTAAGGCTTCCATGCATTTATTACCGCACAGCCACGAGGACACAAAAATGCAGCGATGCGAGAGTGCCGTAGATACCATACGCACGGGCCACGCGCTCGCGCTCTCCTTGTCCCAAAAGGATTTTAATCCAGTCGAATGAGTCGAATGATGCATGCCCAGGTCATCCTCTTCCAAAAGAAGAAGCAAAGAAAAAGATCCAAAAGGGAGACAGGATCTGGCAAAGATTTGGCACCCTTGGGCCAGCCTTTAGTGGGTTGGGGTATCGTAGCAGCGACCTGTAGTTATCTGGCATTAAACTAGCATTTCTCGCCAGATAATAAAGCAGGAGGTTCCTCTCAAGCAAGCAAGTAGCTAGGTCTAGCTAGCTCAGATGCGATCGAGGAGTCTCCAAATTGCTGTATTTCATTGGCTGGCTCCCAGTTCGTACTCCCAGATAGATACCGTAGGTGATGAGAAGCCCACAGCTAGTAGAGAGATTGGCGGGTCGTCCGTTTATTTGACTTTAGGGAAATAGCTAGCTAGCTGGCCAGCGGTGGCGTCAAGTTGGTGTGATGTTCGTGTAGCTGTTCGTGTGCGGTAGAAAGGAGCCAAGGGGGGCGAAAGCACTATAAAGCAAAAGTCCCTCCAAAATGCAAGGAGGCGCGCTCCGTAATGAACGTTCTGTAGTACTAGTGCATATCCAGCCAATGGAAGAGGTACGGTACGGTACGCCACTACCGGTACAGTAGAATGGGATGCACCTCTTTGGAGTGTTTAGCACCCCATCCTTCTTTTTTGTTTGAATAAGACCGTGATGGAGGGAACAATGGTCTTTTCCTTGGTACCGGTACCCGTGTTATTAATAATAGTATTAATAGCTATTTTAAAATACCTGGTAGCACCTCTTGTGTCATCATAGTACGCCCAGCTTCAGAAGTCAGAAGGCTAGTATTTGTACCTCCACGGCCATTGTAATTTTGGCGTTTAGAAACCAGCTCTTCGTGCCCGTCTTGCTCTTCGATAAGAGTGTCGTCAAGATAGAGCCAAACTCAAACTCCAGGTCTCCTTCTCTCAAAGAAGAGCCTTCCTGCCTGTACCGGTAGAGGATGCATGCAGGTCATTGAATGAATGATTGAATTCTTCTCAAAGCCAGTCGAGTACCAGCCCGAATAGAAAAACCCGTGGCCAGCCCGGAACTCAACTCGTGTTGTGAAATCTCGAGAGAAATATCCATTTCTCTGGCCCCACCAAGCAACGCCATTGTAGTACTCCGCCGATAAAGTCGAGAATTTTGAAAAAGGTGATAACTCCTCAGAATGAGCAGTCAGGATTTTTGAATCAGTCGGATGGTTTGGGTTAGGGTGAAAGTAGAATTCTCCACTTGATCTTCAGATTTGTGTAGAATCCAGTAGGTTCCAGACTACTCTGCGGCAAAAATGCGGACAGATGCAAAAATGAGGAAAACCTCTGGAATGCTTTGGAACCAAATAGGTATTCCATCCTGATTGTTCCTGGAAGCATGACTGGAGGATGACTTTGTGATAAAAAAACCACCAACTTCTGGTTACAGATCTCAGTCAATATCCAACCAATTGACCTGGTTGTTGAATGATATTTGTCAGCACTGATGACATTGTTGTTTTGAATGACATTGTCTTACTTTGTTGAGATAGTGTAGTTGTTAGTGTCATATTGGGTGTTAACTAGCAGTGCTCATTTTTGCACCAAATCTTTCTAAATCTAAGGGTATAAATGTTATAATGTGTCTTAATGTCAAGGTGTAAATGCTGACTGATCTTCACACTACTAGCTGATGTTAGGTTGCCTGGTTTCTTAAAACTAAGTAGTAAATGAGGACTGTCCGCATTTGCGCTCTGGAGTAGCAGAATTCTCAACTAAATCGGCGGAGTGTTTCTCAAAAACCTGCGAATGTAAGAGAGGAGGGTTCACCTTCACAAGAGAAAACAGCTCCATTAGAAGACAGACAGACGGACGGACGGAGGAACGGACACACAGACAGGAAAAAGTTTGAAAGGTTTCAGATTTGAGCTACTAGCTAGCAGAAGCTGGTTTACGCATACATGTAGTACAACAATTCTGTTACTACTTCAATTTCTTTGGTACGTCCGGTGTCCGGAAGATGTGGTACCGGCATCACCCACTCTCAGCTCACAGTACTGTAGAGCCGAGAGTAATAGTTTCAGTTTACATTCAAATAGTCTTTTGTCGATTTATTTGGTCGCTCGCTCACTTGAAAAGCATGTAGACTCTAATAGTACTCAGAGTGTCAGAGTGCTGAGTTACACTCGGTAGTACTGTGGACTGTTGAGTGTTGAGTGCTGAGCCTTTTACTGAACGTTAAATAATCCTCGGTTTAGTTAGTAGCTCCTACTATGCAAGGAAATTAAGACCCCAGTTAGAGAAATGCACATATTTAATTTTAAACTAGGGCTTCAACAAGACTTTATCTAACTTTTGGAAACTGAACCGTTGCCAACATTAAAAGAAAGGTGACCTCGACTCTGTTAAATGGGCTTTGGAGTAGCTTTCATAATTTTTTTCACTGCACGAAATACTATTAATTGAAAAGCAGGATGATAATCCATTTTTACTATTAACAATAGTACTTCAGCTTGAAGGAAAACCATTTATTTAATTGGATTGAATGTCTTCCGAATGTCACACTTTCAGCATCGATCCGAATCCCACCAAAAGATACCCGGTACCGGCCGGTATGTAGGGTCACTATTCGTAAGGTAGCTGAACATCGTGGAGGGCTACTTGACGTGGAATACACTTTATCTATTCTTCCAAAAGTTCTCTTGGACAGCTTTAGACCGACTTTAACACCGAGTTCTTGGAACAAGCATTCTCGTCGCTGGTAGAAACAAGCGTACCAGTACTAGTACATGTAGCGCTACTAAACAGTCTAAGCAAGGTTGAAACAAAGAGTTGAGAGCTCGAGGCGGGAGTATGCTTTATAGTGTAAGCAGGTCAGCAAAGATGAAGAACACCACTATCAAAATATCTGTACAGTCAAACGTCACGACAATCGTGAAAGCGATTTGCAAAGTGCATTATTGCTCGTTCAGTACTGGCTTAACGAAGAGCCACGTAGCAGCCTTCCCATGTTTTTTCTTTGCCTCAGGCCCAGCCATCGTCGCCCTAAAATACGCTACGGCGCTACCTCCTCTCTTTCTCCAAACCCCTCTTTCCATACATTGAAGGAATAGCACCGGTACAAGGACACGACTTGATACCGTCCTTAGCTAGCTAGCTAGCCGTAGCCTCTGCGAAAGGTAGTCATCAGCTTTTGTCAAGACTGCTGGCAGAGCCGAAGATATCTAGATAAACATCACCAAGCGGCCTCGTACACTGCAGAATCCGAGCCGCAAGCCAAATTACAAAGGTCGTGAGCCAAGACAGCGTGGCAGCACATCAATAACGCAGCAATCATCTGGGCAAAGAGTATACATCAAAACCGTGGAAGAGCTGACGACGAGAGGCAGTGAAGCGCGTACTGGTAGACTTGGCAATAGCGGTGGGAACCAACGGCGGAAGCAGTCTGAAGCCAGCAAAGAGCGAAACGGCCCGGTAGCACCCCTTTCCCGGCCCCCCAAAAGTGACACAACAATGGCGGAAAGCGACGCAGTGTGGGACCGGCTCTTTGAGAAGCTCAGCCAATTCAAATCTCGAAATGGACACACCAAGGTGCCCAAGCACTACAGGTACGCACCCCAGAACCATTCTCCGCGGAATCCGCACGATGTCCTCTGGAGTTCTCACTGATCGTCCGCTCCACGCCTTCCGTAGTGAGGACATGGAACTGGGTGAGTAAGGGAGTATACGGTATGCTCGATGGAGAGTCGAACATCGTGGAAACCTAACGTGGTTCGTCGTCGCTTCCTCTCTTTGATTATGTTTGCAGCCACATGGGGTGAGTGTGGGAAATCTGAATGCGTGAAACGGGTCTCTTCCGTGTTACTAACCTTGCGTGGCGTTTGCACTCGACTCGACCCCTCAGTTTTGGAACAAAGGAAGGACTTCAAAGTGTATATCATGATCAAGAGCGATGCCGAGAGAGAGAAGTTGTTTGCAAATGAAAACTTCGCCCTGACACCAAGCAGAGCAAAGAAGCTGGAGGAGCTGGGCTTTGAAATGAGCAACAAGAATCCGCGGCACATACGATGGGATGTAAGTGATGATCCCCTGTTCGTTCGTCGCTCGGTGGGTTTCCCATGAAACGACCTGATCTCACAGACATCTTTTACAACTTGTCGGTTCAGTTCCGATTCCAACAGTTGAAGGAATTTAAGGTGTGTAGAAATCTCGCGGTAGTGATCTCTGTGCGATTTTTGATTCGATTCTCCGGTGGGCACTAACACTGACCTTCTTGGTTGCCATTGATGGTACAATCCTCAGGAAGAATATGGTCATACCCAAGGTAGGTTTCTCGGCGGTACCGTGTCGGTGTTTTAATCAGTCTTCGTCTTTAGCTCATGATAATGGGACTCTTCTCGTGTATGTGAATGATGCAGTACCGATTGGTTGGGACGTCAACGTAAAGCTTGGTGAGTGCCCCGCGCGGCAGATCATAACTAGTAACTTATCGCTATCCTGACGCTCACACTGCGAAAATTAACGCTGTTGGTATTTCCCCAAAGCAAACTGGGTGTCAACTCAGCGACAGGAATTCAAAAATCTTAGGAAGGGCCGAACATCTCAGCTCAACGAGCAAAGGATTGAGCTTTTGAATGAGCTCGGCTTTGCCTGGGAAGTGCAGCGAGGAGGACGTCGTCGGCAATTGACGTCTTTGGCCTCAGCCTCTAAAGAGACTAAGAACGATTCCGGTATTGTACCAGGAAGAGCTTTGGAAGGTGGCGGTACTGATGTTGACGCGACGGCACGCGTCAAGAAGTCACCCATCCGAAAGCAGCAGCAGAAGAAGGCGGAACAGGATTCACCGGAGCAAACGAGCATTCACGAAAACCCGAATCCAAATGCGTGGGAGCACCGTGCAATGGCGGAATCGCAGATGGCCGCTCAAGCAATGAATGCGGCAGCCGCTGCTGCTGCCACAGGGCCAATGTGGGCCGCCGGATTGCCGCCACATCAAGCACATTTGATGGCCTACCAGCAATACGCAGCCATGAGTGCGCTATCGCCCCATGCCTTTTTCGGCCCGTATGCCGGCATCCCACCACACCTACTGCATGGTGCCTCGTTTGGAGCTCAAGGGGGCATGTTGCATCCTCAGCATGACGCTACTGACGTGATGCCGCCTGCCAATTTTTTGAGGGGGTCGGACCCACCCTCTGACTCTCCGTTTGGGATCCCTGAAGGCACCACGAATCATTTGCATACTGTGAGAACCGGTAATCGCGAGATGGGAGGAGCCTCGAATGTTGGACCGAACGGGGCCGCCACAAAGAGGCAAAGTTCCGACCCACCCGCAGATACACCGGCATCGGCAGCCAAAAAGCAGAGACGCGCTGACAGGGTGAAGGCATCAAAGTCAAAACGAACAAGTGCGAATTACTCTGATGCCACGCAATGCGACGAAGTGCCTTCCAGCGTGATAGTGAAGAAAGAAGAAGGATCTCCCGAATCTACCAAGTACACTGAAACAAGGTTCAAGAATGAGGAGAGGATGGTTGGCCGTGGCTTTGCAATGTCGAAACATTCCATGTTGAACGGAGATGAAGGACTCTCCGCTCATGATGGACGGCAGTCGAATGAACCCCCAGGTGAGAAGCGCTTTTCGAATTGCAACGAGGCTCACTTTGAAGATGCTGAAGAAGACAACAGCTTGTAGCTTGCTTCGCGGTAGTACCGCTCTGCGTGCCCTGTAGTTCCGGCGGGTACAAGCCAACTCACTGTGGCGGTAGGTAAACATAACGAAAAGATCAGTACATTCCCTTTTTACTCCTTTACGACATGATAGGCAAGCTGCTTCCCTTGGTGAACTGGTGGGAAATGCAAATAAGCCAGCAGACCTGTCCCTCTTGCGGTGTTCTGCATAGTGTTTCCTTTTCTCTTCCGTACTGTACGAACCGTGCTGATTGACCATGGCGGTCCTTCGAGAACTACTGCTCCAGCCTGAGCTGCCAGCTCTGTGGAACAATGTAGCCTCTTCGTTGCTGATGGTATTGTTTTATCGGGCCGTGACAGAGTTTGCTGGATGGCTTCGAGTGCGCTTTGGAATGGCGGCACAATCTCGTCAGATTCTTCAAATGAGCCTCTCGGCCGCGGTTGTCTTTTGGCCGCTCTTCGATACATCAGAGTGGTCCTGGAGGCTCAATGCCATTCTTCCGTCGGCCTTGTTGGCGCGAATACTCTACAAGGTAGGAACGAGGATGTTTGGGCATCGCTTCATTTTTGTCCTGTTTGAAGATGTTGTTTCTTGTTTCTTTTACTAACAATTCTAATGACGTTTCCATTATTTATTTCTGCAGGCCAAACTGAATGATCCGGAGGACATGGATGTGCAGAATCTGTCCCGTTCCTCCTCTCCCTCGGAACTGCTCTTTGGGCCGCTGCAGCTGTGTTGTGTCATGATTTGGTTGGGTCTGTATCAATTCATGACACAAGAAGCAGCTATCCTGGCCGCGGCGATTGGCGTGGGAGATGGACTCGCTCCCATGATTGGATCTCGGTATGGTCGTCACTTTTACCACATGCCTTTTTCTGGAAGAAAGACAATGGAAGGAAGCATCGTGGGAGTGTTTTTGGGCACCAGCATCGCGTGCTACCTATACGCCTACATGATGGGCATTCCCATCCCCCCGCTGCGCTATGTGCTGGTGTATGGCTTTGTGGCTGCTGTTGTGGAAGGAACCTCTCCGGGAAACTTTGACAATATGAGTACCGCCTTGGTGATGCACTTTTCCTTGGATAAGGTTCATGAATGGTTGCCTCCATGAGGAACGACAATCGCAACGCAAGGTTTCGGTTTCATCGCCAACAAGAAGCAAAAGCATTACACTGTCCAAACAGAACAGGATAGCTTTGATCCTGTGTGTTTGGTGCATCCTAGGAAAGGAGAGTCATATTCCAATTGTCGCTATCAGAATGAAACCTGCCGGATTTCTGTGTTAGCAGCTGATGAGTTCCGGTACCGGTACCTACCGGTGCCGCGGGAGGGTAAGAAAAAGTCATGCAACACCAATGCTATTGCTGTAAAAGCTCCTTTTTAATGGAAATTCCTCTTAAAAGAACCACATCCAAATAGGTTCCATGTAATGGTACCATACTAGCTAGCTAATCTAGGAGATTGATTCGATATTATCAAATAGGATTTGATTCGATTCCAGCAACGACAAACTAACTAACTGTTCTTGGCCAACCAATATCATGGTCACTCCCTCCAATATTATCCCACAGTATCTTACGGGTAGATCTACCTGGTTGCAACATTTGATTCATCCCATCTTACCGGTACGGCTGTAAGCAACCCCGCCATTAGTCTAGTAGCTTTTTGTCATGTCTCTTCCTCTTTTCTTGTCCTCGACCACAACAATGAAAATTGAGATATCTTAAATAAAAGGTCAGAGTAGCAAGATACGATTTGGGATCACACGGTATTCAAAGCTTTATAAATCATTTGGTATCTAACTCTCAAACTCAGCCACATTTTTCTCGCCACTTCGTCAGTGCGCGTCAGTCAATTGACACGGCAACTAGAGGCCTTGGTTTGTTGAAGCACAAGCAAAAGCAACTAACAACAGTAGAGACACAACAAGAACTAACGAAGATGACAGCTTCTCAACAAGCAGACGCCTTTGATGTGGGCGTTGCGTCTGTGAATTTTCGGGTTCGTTGCGAAACCTTGGGCCATGGTGATGAGGTTTTCTTGGTGTCGGATGAAGGACAAGGGGCTCGAAAGGTGCGTTTCGTTCGAGCTATTTACAGCGATAAAATTGTGCTGCGCCTTGGCAACACGGACAGACGAGCTCTTGTGGAAAGAGAAAAAAGTGGCTCCCTAGGATTTTGGATCCAATGGCGTCCAATCTCTCTTGTGTTGTCACTGCCTGTGGAGGTTTCCAATGGCGGTCCTTGTCCCCTCTCATGTTGACTAGCTAGCTAGAAGCCTTGTTAGACTGTATCTCACGTCCTTTTTTTGGATTTTCTTTCTTTGACGCATCTTCTCGCTACCGTACGGATGAACCTTTCTTCTTCTTCTTCTCATTACACTCCACGACAAAACCAACACAACCGACAAAACCAATAACAGTCGATTCCCTTGTACACGACTGCGGCAGCTTTCCCTTGGTACCACACACTAGCGCCCATCACGCTGTCGTTGCCTCCTCGGGCTCTGGAAGACAAGAAGACGCTTCCAGAATCTCAGCGTTATTTTTCCTATCGATACGCCATTCATCGAGCAGGAGTGTTCCACCGTTGGGAGAATCCCTCGGATTTGGCTGACGAAAACGATGACGACGTGACAATGGAAGACAACTCGCAGACCATGGCGACAACAACAGCAACAACGACAACAGCAGAAGCAGCACGTCACAAAGTACCACTGCGTCTCTTGGCCAGTCGCGAAACTTACACCATCAACGATGTCTTGGGCGTCACGTCCGGTCCTCCCGATATTGATCACATTCGCGTCCCAACACGACCAACTTACACCAGTGCCGCATCGATGCATTCCCGTGATTCCAGTCAAAGTCAATTGGCAGGCAGTCATTCCAGCATGAGAGGCACTGAAGCGGTCTCGCCCAAACCGGGAAATCGAAAAAAGGCAGTGGGATTCGCTCCGGCTCCTCCGCCCTATCATCATCATGCTCCCAACAACACACCCAAGGCAACAGTACACCTAAATTCCACCGATGGACTCGTCGTGGTCAGTGCCTTTTTGCCCGTCATTCTGCATCGATCCAATGAAGGCGTCTGGACCGCCGATTGGGATTACGAGGTTTTGCTGTCCATGCAAACGCATCTACGAGTCACACGGGTCGGAGTCGTCAAATGGAGAGGATGGCATGGTAATGTCGGGTCAGATGGGAGTCCGGAAGCGGGTGTACCCGTCGCCGAACGAAGTTTGGTAGAAGAGTGTTTGCAGCCCTTCAATTGTGTGCCCGTGTGGGTAGAACCGAAATTGTTTGGTGAAATGTAAGTAGTGTGCAAACGAAGAACACACAAACACACTGCTACCTTGCTTGTTCCTAACGACGGTGTTGACTTTCTCTTTTTCATTTCTGATTTTGGATACATGCAGGTACAATGGATTCTGCAAAGGAGTCCTCTGGCCGGTACTACACAATGTCACGTCTGTCTACTCTTCCAGGCCTGATACTGCCGCAGAAGCTACCGAAGATGAGATGGATCTCCGACAAGACAATTCCGAATCCGCACAATTCTCTGAATACAGCATGGATGATGTTGGTCAGGGACCAATCCACGGAGGAAGAGGAAGTGAAGCCGAACTTTGGGCGGCATACAACTCGGTCAATCGCCAATTTGCCGATGTCGTAGTCCAGTGCTTCAACGAGGGAGACTTGGTCTGGGTCCATGGCTTTCACTTGCTCATCCTGCCGTCCTACCTTACCCGGCGTATTCCAATGGCCAAGGTGGGAATCTTCCTCCACACTCCCTTTCCCAGTTCGGAAATCTTTCGAACCTTGTGGTGCCGCGAGGATCTCCTTCGAGGAATGCTCAACGCGGATCAAGTTGGATTCCATCTTTTTGAATATGCCAGGCATTTCCTTACTTGCTGCCGTCGGTTGTTGGGATTGAACTATGGCATGGTACCAGATGCGTCCGGTGGACATACTTTGGCAATTGATACCAATGGCCGTCACGTGGCTGTTACGAGCATCCATGCCGGTGTGGAACCACCCGTCTTGAACCAGATTCTAGCGCACCCCATCACGGGAGAGAAGGTAAGCAGTGACACTGCCCGGAAACCGCCGTTGTCATCGAGAGTACTGTACCCAAAAGCTGATTATTTGTTGCGCTGCAATAATAGGCCCAATCGATTCGCAACCGCTTCCAAGGCAAAACTATTTTCTGCGCCATTGATCGGTTGGAGTCACTCAAGGGAATTCCATTGAAGCTGTTGGGCCTGGAACGGTTCCTCAGAAGGTGCCCCGAATGGGCAGGCAAAATTGTCTTGATTCAAGTTGGTATTTCTGCTCATGAACGACAGCAGGATTATGCCAGGACCAGGAAGGAAATTCCAGCCATGGTCAAGAAAATCAATGAGGCATTCCCTGGAACGGTTCAATTCCAGGAATGCTCCGAGTCGGAGATGCGATTGCAACAACGTATGGCACTTCTTCGTGCAGCGGATGTTGTTCTAGTGACACCTATTCGCGATGGTCTCAATTTGATTCCTCTGGTAAGTAGCAACAAAACGTATCACATGGAGATTCATTCTGTGTTATCTCCAAACCACAAGCTCACTGGCGTTGTTTTTCAAACTACAGGAATTCACAATTGCGCATCAAGACGCATTAACGGATGCCGGAAAGCGGGATGGTCGCAGACGCGGCTTGTGTATCCTGTCGGAGTTTTCCAGTTGTACACGTGTCATGAGAGGTGCTTTGCACGTGAATCCGTGGAAGGTACGACAAGTGCCTTGCTTGATTACTATGGTTTCTTTACCACTTCTCTGACGAGGGAGTTGCTGTCTTCTTGTTCTAGATTTCGGAGATTGCCAACGCCTTCCATCATGCCTTGAACATGTCAGAGGATGAAAGGATGCGCCGAGTCAGTTGTGCTTCTGAGTTTGTGACCCGTGTGACAACTCAGAGATGGGCATTGGCTGTCATGCTGGACCTCAAGGGTGTGCACAAAAATGTGAATCCAGTGCAGCTGTCGGGTGCTGGCCTCGGTCTGGGATACAGATTGTTGAACATGGATACTGGCTGGGGTTCACTCGATTTCAGTGCTGTTGCTAGGGCCTACAAGAACGCCCGTTCGCGTCTGATTCTCCTTGATTATGGCGGTACCATCGTAAGCAACGATAATGTAAGTTTCGGGATTTCGACAATGCAAGGGACTTGATGACATGATACACCCGACTGCTAAACACACATGCCTACTTTTTGCGTTTTCCAGCTTGATAATCTGACCAGATTTAAAATGGTAAAAGAAAGAACTCTCCCGTCGCTGCCCACTGACAAAATGATCAACACATTGAAGAATCTTTGCGAAGACAAGCGAAACGCTGTTTTTGTTGTGTCCGGAAAGGAGCGACATTCCTTGACCAATTCGCTCTCTGGTGTTCAGAATCTTGGGCTGGCTGCGGAACATGGTATGTTCATTTCTTGGCCGTCCGCGAAGAAATCCGACAAGAGACGCTGGGAGACACTGGTACCTGAGACCGACCGCACCTGGAGGTCTCTTGCCGTCACAATCATGGAAGTCTACACTTCGCGTACTCATGGCAGCTACATAGAAGAAACCGAAATGAAAGTGCTATGGCAGTACCGTGATGCGGACTTGGAGTTCGGATATCTTCAGGCCCGAGAGCTTGAAGATCACTTGTCGAAGTATCTGAGAAGTTATCCTGTCGACATTCTGCACGGTGGAATGGAGGAAGGTGGATACGTCGAAGTCAGACCGAAAGGTGTCAACAAGGGTGTGTTGGCTATGAGAATCATCAAGCACTTCCCAGTGATAGCACAGAAGGATCGCATTGACTTCTGCCTGGTCCTAGGAGATGACCATTGCGACGAACCAATGCTCTCAGTGATGCGCCAAGTTGGTCGACGCATTGCAGGGGTGCGGCGGGCAAAGGCAGGCGACGAACCACTCCCTGATATGCCAGCCACCATCCCGTTGGTTGATGTTTCCTCTGTCGATGGGTACGTATCGCCTGAGCTGGAAGTCTTTACAGCTACTGTTGGTAAGAAACCAAGCGCCGCGGCAAGTTACCTGCACGACGTGAACGAATGCCAAGAGCTGCTGGATAGCTTGGTGAAGGTTTCAACGCGAGACCAAAAGTTCTACTCTGCCGTTGACTTGCGGTCTCACATGGCAGAACCCGGCGGATTTGGTGTCACCATGGACATTGCGACGGTGAGCACCGGTATGCAAAAGTCAATGAGCTTCGGTCAGATGAGCATACCCGAAGACGATGGCGACAAAGAGCCAAAACAGGGTTCCACTGGTTTTCTTAATGACTACCTGGGAACCATCGAAGACGAAAACGCTGGTGATGAAGATGAGTTTCTGTTTTTTGATTAAGGCACTTTATATTTTTAAAATAATGAAAGCAATTTGAAGAAATGCCTCATGGTTACATTATTACACAGATAACTAAACTAAATAGAAATGCTTTGCTTGCTACCGTCGCCAGCCATGAAGACGAAACTGCTTCATTTTGGTCACCGTAGTCACCTCTCAGCGGCTTCGGAACGAACGAGACCAGTCCCCTAGTTTTCTCAACGACAACAAATCTAAACAGAAGGCGAAGCTGATGCAACCAATCTTTGTTAAAGATGTTTATAGAATGAAATTAGATTACCCAAGAAATGTGTAGAGACTTTACACAGATATCCAATAAAAAGCTTGCTGGTTAGAAAGATGAAACCCGTTTCATCATCCACTTTGCCCATCAACGCGTTTTCCCTCCCACCGCGTTCGTCTCGAGCAAAGCAGACATTGCAAGCAAGCACTGAATGATATCGTCCAGACGAGTAAGTAACATAACGTCAGGTTGTGCAAGATATAAAAATCTATTCGGCATGAATAGTACCGAAAGAGCAGAGGATGCAGCAAGCAGAACAGAATCAAACCGAAACCAAGCCGGCAGGAGCTTCAAAAGACTCCTCGTCGCTTGAGCTGATCACAGACGATGAATTGCCAATTGCTTTCTGTGACGCTTCTGAACGAACCCTCTTTGAGTGTCCTTCAGTGTTGTCGCCCGAGGAATCTCGATCTCGCTTCCTCGATTTCTTCCCCATCAGTTCTTTGTCTTCATATCGGACTGGCTTGTGAATACTGCGACGACTCCTTTCAATTGCCGCTGTGCCAAAGAGTAGCCCAAGTTTGTGTTTCGTTTGTCGGTCTTGCTGCGCCAGTAGAAGGCTTTGCATCAAGGGGACATCCCCATCTTCAGACACTGTAGGCTTGATAGGAGGCTTCAGCTTGCTCTCCAGTGCGTCTGATTCGTTCTGCGACTTCTCCAGACGGGTTCCAGCATCGCGACCATCGCGCTCAAATGGGAACCCTGTGGGTTGGTGCTGAATAGGCACGGGAGACTCGGGGACTGTATCAGGCGCGGAGGAGCTCATACAGGTGGGGAACATGATACTGCTCATCTTTCGACTGCCCTTTCCCCCCTTCTGGTCGATCCCGATTACTCGACAAGATACCAACGGAGTGACTTCGTGAACTTGGTCGAATGACATGACAGGCTTTTCAGGTAGCATTGGGGTAGGCGGGGTGCTGGTTGAATCAGCCCTGTCCAGTCCCTCCTCTCCATCCACCACCGACGACTTTCCATCGGACGACGCAGCATCAAACACTTCTACGACATCGAGTGCCTTCTCAGCGCCATTTTCAGCGGACTTGGCATCGTCTGAGTTGGGGTGCAAGTAGAGCTCAAACGAACGGCGATTGTGCAGTCCCACGCCGGGGAGTCTCACAGATACCCAGCCATTCCTCCACTTTTCAACAAGACCAACATGGTTTGTGAGCGGACCAGTGGAGACAATCACCTTCCTGTGCAGCCACTTGTCCGTGCCAATCGTGCTGAGCAGCGGGTATGGCGCATCTGCCATGTTCCTTTCCTTCTTCAAAGAGTGCCTGTTTTTTCGTTTCGAACCTTCTGCTTTCCCTTTTGCTGGTTTGGCAGCAGCTTCCACGAGTCCACCAGGCTTTCCTCCTGACCCTTCCTTGGCTTTGCTGTTTGCGGCAGTGTTCAGCCCTGCACCGCCACGTCGAGGGGGTGGGTTGGTGTCGTAATCCGCATGCAAGTAGCAATACTTGGTTCCTTTGACCGCGCAGTAGGCACATTCACGGCCACGAGTGGTCGTTGCTGGGCAGAATAATAAGACACAGTCAGGAGAGACACATGCATGATAACAACATTCCGCACAGCGCCAAACAACAGTGCTCTAGCATACCTTTGCAGCGAATCTCAGCGTCACAGCCTGTGTATCGTTTGTCTTGATGCTGATGGATCAATTGAGATCCAGAGGTTGTTGCCCCTTCTGCGTTTGTTGCGTCTCCATCCGTGATGATGTCGGGTAGCTCCACAATCATGCCGCTTGACAGCTCCTTCTCCGTTGCCACTCCAGCTGCAATGTTGTGTTGATAATGCAGCTTGCAGTACTTGCTTCCATTATAGCAGGGATGCCGACGACAGTAGGAGAAATTACGAGACGTGCGCCCATGGCAACCACCGGGGAGAGGGCTCAGAAGTGGCGCTTTGCTGGACTTGATGGTGGAAACATCAGCTGCAAGAAACGATTTCTGTTGATGGAGACTCTGTAGATCTGCAGCAGCGGCCATCAACGCACTGCTCAATGTGATGTCATCATTGCCCTCGATTGATTTTGTATCCGCCAATGCAAACCCGTGCTGCTTATTGGCCTCCTCCCCGTACTGCCAATCTTCTTGTCGGCTGGACAGCTTGAGCGTCTCTCCATGGGCATCTGATGATGCGGCTGCAGCCAACAGAGACAGTGCAGCAATATGCTCTGCACTGCCGGATTCATCTTGGTTATCTTCGGGCATTGGGGTAGCATATGGCTTATGGATAATGACATGATCGCTTGATACCCCTGCAGCGAGCAGCTCCAGGCTTGGAAATCTCCTCTTCTTGAATGGCAAAGAACCCCGCCTCGTTGGCTTCATGTCTTCCACCATCAGGGAGGAATCGGCTGATGAGATATTCATCTTGGCGCAATCCTTGTAGTGCAGCAATTAACTGTGCCAACTCTTGTATCGGCCTACCAGATGCGGCTCTTCCGCCAATCCAATCCTGGCAGCACAAATAAATGTAAGTGTTCTGCAGAACAATCCAATAGCTATGCCTACCAGGGTCTTGGATACCTCAGCAGCAGCAGCAGCAGCAGCAGGCAGCGAACTTGCGGGCAGAAGTGGAGGACTGGTTTTGGCGGTAATCACACAACTGCTGCAGTCAGTTTTGTGATGGTGGTTCCAAGATTCAACTCGAGGTCCCCGAAAGACTCAACCAGCAAGTTTCAAACAGATGAATCTATACAAGTTCCTCTCCTCGTCGCTGGTACCTATGCAGGTGCCAAGGTTGTTAGCAGCCACCCCTGTCTTTTATCGATCAATACCCAACTGGTATCAAGGATAATCGATGAACTACAGTTGCCACTCTTGTTTCTTTCAGTGTGCGCTGATTGAGAAGGATCACTTTTAATTTATTTACTGCCAGCCAGAGCTTCTTTTGCTTGCCACTGGTGTGCTGAGGGGATGTAGCTCTGGTAACCGCCATCCAACCAACAAATGAAGCTCCCATCGGAAAAGTTTTTGCGAGCAATCCCAAACAGACCCATAAGCGAATTTTCTCGCACTAGGGAGTCAAATAACCAGTCTACAAGAGAGTGCGGAACATTAGCAGTAGTTGAGGTAATAACAAGAAATATCAAGTACAATTTGCTACCATGCTTTCCAATTTACTCACCCTGCCACCGGCTGCTGACGTGTATCTGTTGAAGCTCAATACCATCACGATTGCTTCGCGCATTCAACTGATGGAAGATCGAGATTCAAGAAAGCGATGGATGGTTTTTGGCTTTCGTTGGGGCGCAAAGAGAACCATCCTCTTCTTTTCCTTGCAAAATAAATGAAAGCGTCGGGCAGGGGGACTATTCGGAACTTGTGCGGCGGCACCGTTTTGGCGCTGGCATCATTGTGGATCCAGATTTTGAAAAAAATGTTATGTTGCGGAAGGAGCCATTGGCTAGAGGTAGCTAGTCTAGCAAAAGGCAAGCTAGCGGAGTACGGTAGAACTACATGTATGAGGAGGAAGGGAAAACCCAGTACAGAAGAGGTGCCTCGCAGGATCTATCGTTAGTCCGCAAGATTACACCTTGCTTGTTCCTAGCTAGTTCCTAGACGTAGCTATGAATAGAGCTCTGCATAGTTGTTTCCCTCTTGTACCTTCTTCATACATACCATACGCAACTACTAGCTAGTCTAAGGAGAGGATAGATAGGATAGATAGCAGACCACGACAGCACGGGATCAGATACACGTGTCTGCCTAGCTAGCCAGCTAGCTCCATCAAGGCGCTTGCCGCATCGTCACAGCCGCACCATTGGCATGTCATGAAAAGCGACCGTGACCGCACCTTTTGCTCAGAAAGATCCAGTTAGCAGTCGAGTCGACTGACTCGAGCGGAGTCGAGTCGACTGGGTCGAGTCGACTTGGTCGAGTCACAAGTCGAGTCGAGTCGAGTCGAGTCCTCAGTCAACCCAAACAAGCCAAGCTCAGTCGTGCTTTCCGTGGCTACATCTCGTCTCTGCTGTCATCGTCACAAAACAACACCTCCAAGGAAGCGAAATACAAACCAGCGCCCAGGATATTCAGAATTCTACAAGAAGATGGCGAAGGAAGGATCGATGAAGATGGATGTGGAAAACGGTCCAATGGATACAGACCAAATGGATTGCGACAGCCAACGACAAGACATTGTTCGAATCGTAGTGATCTCAGACACTCACGGTTTGCATGACAAGCTGCGTCTCCCACGGGGAGACGTGCTGGTCCATTGCGGGGACTTTGCCGACCGCGGGTCTGTCGCCGATATCCGCGCCTTTCGAGACTGGTTCCAGTCACAGAAAAGCAGATATTCCGATCTTGTCGTCATTGCAGGGAATCATGATCGAGATTTGAAGAGGCCAGACGCCATCGATTTACGTGCCGAGTTTTCATTGCCGGGCTCGACCATTCATTTCCTGGAAGATCAGCATCTTGTGTGCGCCGGAGGCCGTCTTCACATTTTTGGAGCTTCCTGGGGCACTTGTGACAGCGACAGTTTCGAGGACCTGGACCTGACAGAGGGGAACAGCAGTAATGCCGATGGTATTGACCTGCTGCTTTCTCATATCCCGCCATATTGGCCAGGCAGGACATCCACTGTGCGGAGGGGAAGCTTGAGCTTGGCCAAAGTGATTTTTCAAAAGAGAATCCCGATATGCTGCGGTGGCCACCTTCACTGGGCTCGCGGAGCCGTGCGGTATAAAGCAAGGCACGGATGTGTGCCACAATCCACATGGTTCATCAATGCAGCCAGCAAGTTTCCCAGCTCAAGAGACCCACAGCCTGACGATGGAGGCGTCTTTCCCCCTGTCGTCATTGACTATAATGTCCAGGAAAGAAAAGTGGCGTGGGTAGATGGGTTCGATAAATTTTGGAGAAAGGACATCCCGAAACCCTTTTCTTTCGCTGTTGATAGATGGGAATGTAGCTAGTGCTAAACGTAATCACACTTCTTGCTACCATATGTATTCAATATCTCTACCAGCGCTTGAGCCTTTTGTTGGGAGGTCGGGTGCCATTTTTGGTTTTTGTTTGGCTTTGGCATTGGCAGGTTTTGTCTAATCGATCTTCTCCTTCTTCGTGTTTGTGCGGAGTGGAGACAGGATATCCCTGAACAGCGAGTACTTCCAACTCTTGGCACTCTCCGACCAGTTGCTGTTGAAGATGGGACCAGACGAGGCCCTCATCTTGAGCATTGACTCCAGATTGGTCTCGCCCAACACAGCGACAAACCACAAGATGAACACACGCGTCAGGACCATTCCAAGCAGAGATAGTGGAAGCGCCGCGTAGGGATCAAATGAGCTCACAACGAAGAGCAAGTCGTAGCGCTTCTTGTTCAACAAAAAGATATCAACTCCATTGTGGAGACGGCTCATGATGACGGCGAAAGCGAGCATGTTCACGGCGAACATTACATTTCGGATTTGCTTCCCAACATGTTCCGCTCTCTTGGCCTGTCGGCTGCCGCTCTCGTGGCTTCCTGAACGATTGCCCCACGTGCAGTCAGAAAAGCGCACGAGACTGTAGGCCGGGAACCAAGTGTGCCTCACGGCAAGGACTCCAAGCATCAACAGAGGAAAAGCAAGGAAATGAAGGAGCAACTTCATGGGCCTGAACTTTCCGTAAATGATCAACCAAAAAGAGAGCTCGGTGACGCTAAACGTCACTTGGGCTCTGAAGAGGGCCATGACAGCCGGTCCGAGCATTCCATAACAGTACAAAGTGACCAAGAGGATATAGTGGAGAGCAATATGGATGACGTTATGCAGGTTCCACAAAGTTGGTCGGTAGACGCTGTCTTCGTCAAGACACCAGCGTGTCTCCTTATTTGTTCCTTCGCGACCAGTGGGTTCGTCAGGCTTGGCCTTTGGGGTGTGCGCAACAACAAAGTACACATAGAAGGCAAGGTAGGCCAAGGTTGGAATCAATGCCAAGCCCACCATGCGAGGATCTGAGCAGTTCATAATGTCAAGCATGCTTCGTTCATCGGATGCCCTCAAATTGAGCAAAAGTTTCGTCGTCGCGTAGATCACAGTCGCGACGAAAGGAGCTACCACAGCAGTGTCAATGCCCCGCATCAGAACGTCAATGACAAGGAAGGCGACAGCTGAGATCTTGAACATTGGAAAATGTCCAGATTGAACGATCTTTTGCCCTGTTGGTAAAAGCAATAAAACTTTGGTTGTGAGCACAGCCAAGTGTTCGTTTCTTGACGTGCTAAGCCTCACTTACAATGATGAAGGAGGAACCAAAGAGATCTTGCCGGAGCGGTATTTCTCCATCTTCGTCGCTGCTTCACTAGGGTACTCAAAGGATATTCGGCTTCACAATACGAGACAGCGTCAGGCAGGAAGCACAAGCGAGGCCCAGGGAGCAAGGACCGCTTTTCACAAGCTTTGTCGTCCTGGAATGTGACCAGCGTGGGCAGGACTTTATCTTCAGAGATCTTCAGGTTACCCAAAACAACTCCTTCATCATCGGTAGTAAGGAGGTCAAAGTACTCCTTCATAGGCCCTTCCTCCAGGCTTCCCAGGTGGCTGGCCCTCCAGATACCACCGCATCCAGGGATCACTAAGATGGAAAGAGTGGCACATATCGCCGCTTTGGTTAGGTTCTACGGCACGTCTTTTTCGGGATCCATCAAGACAGAAAAAGGTCGTCTCACGTACCCTGGATGTACCCTACATGGTTGTTGAAGACTCTTGTTGGATGGACTAAATCCTGTCAAAGCCGAACGATACAGACTTCAGGAATCTGGACCCAAGTTGAACCGTTCACTCATTTGATAATGGAATACTCACCTCCATGTCATACTGCTGCATCAAACGAAGGATTGCATTCACCGGTTGCCTCCAAATCTCTCCAGGTGCTACACCTTGCTGCTCCGCAGACATGGTTCGAACCATGCAACAAGTTCCAGCAACACCTTGATCTAGTTCCATTCTCTCGTGCATCAGACGAACGCAATGCTCGTCATAAATAATCCCACAATCTGTCTGGAAGAGGTATTCTGATCCAATGGCAGGGGCGTGGGCAGCCATCCACCAAAGCTGGGAATCTACTTTGCCTTTGTTGTGCCTCTTGATGACAAGTGACAGACCAAACTTCGAATCATTGTCCACGTCTTCGTGCTCTACAATGATCGTCTTGATGTCCTCAGAAATCGTAAGGAACATGTCCGTATCCAGCAAGAAAAGTTCTTGCAGGTATTCCTTCATTGAATCAGAGATCAATTCAAAGCCATCCATCACTATTACGATCTCCAATTTTCCACTGGAGGGGAGGATCTGGGCCTTGAGGGTCTTCATGGTGCGATCAAGACAATGTGCCTCCTCATTGCAACAAGCGATCACCAAAGAAATGGGTGGCTTCTTCTGTTCCTTTGTAGCCTTTTCATACTTGGCAGAAAGGACAGGAAAGAATGCCATTCCGTTTGCTAACGAAGTAGGCTTGTGATCCTTGTAGCCACAAACACGAACACGAATGGCTTGGGAGCTGCTACAGCTGCTGCGGCTGCTGCGAGAGAAGCTATCCGACAAGCTTCTGCACTCACCAGGGTCAGTTTCCATGCCCGTAGGGACGCAACCATTGGCAGTAGAGTCCTTGTTGGTGGCGCTCAGAACGAAGCTTAAGCTCCTGCAAGCAGGATCCTTCAAAGCACATCCAGAACCAAGGCACATCTTCAAACGTAGGCTTTCAAAATAGCTTGTTCGAGGCTTCGCTGCTTCCCAATGCTTTCGGATTGGAAATTGTGAGCCTCTTGTCCTGAGGCGCCAACCACAAATGATGATCGACTAATGCATCTTATTGTGCCGAAGATGACAATGACTCCCCGGATGGATCCAAAAGCCGCTAAACTAGAGTGCTGCGCTAGCTAGCGCTCTAAGTCCCCCTTGTGGTTGGAAGCAAAAAGATCTCCTACTGCTACAGCGCCGGTAGCCAGTCGGTTGGAAGAATCATCTAGACTGGCACTAGCCATTCCAACAACATCATACTGACCTACAAGGCGCTTGAGCATGAGCAGTGCAGTGCCGGTACCACCTGGCAGCTTTAACTATGTCCAATGAGAACCGTTGAGCTATCCGTACGGATACTGTGTGCTCACTTGAGTACATTACCTGTAACGTACAATACTCGAGTACTCGAGTGTCAGTCTTACGGACGAGGAAGACATTTGAAGTGAATGTAACTGTCACTGGGACATAACAACGCTTTCCCTTGTCAAAACTTGCAAACTGGCAGCCACTGTTACCGGTACGGTTTAGCTTTGATCCGTGCTCATGGAACCTGGAGTTTACTTTTAACTTGTATCCAAAATTCGCAGCCGAACCCTGTCGGGGCGCGAAAAAAGCACAGGGTGGGCATGGGATGCCATTGATTTTCTAGATCTCTGCCCCCTCCACCCCGCACAACAAGAAGCACAAAAAGATTTCCTACTACAGTCAAAAGGTTGCCAGTCAATCCCAGCAGGTATGACAGGCATTTGGAGATCACAGTTTGTTAAGTGTGAGAGAGCATTTATTTGTTAAGCGGAAACCATTCCACGTTTCAAAACAGGAGGAAAGTATCGTATTTAGTTCTGAAAACATCGCGGATTTGCAAAAGGGCACTGTATCTTCTTAGAAATTGGTACCGGTAGACTGGCAGCAACCGGTACCATACGGAGGGAGGTCCTGAGCCCCACTGAAACGTTGCTGCACCAACCCACTATTTCTCTACCATTACCGTAGTTCATGTGCATACCACTTGCATTGTCAAAAATGTGGCGGATCCACCCGGAACTTAGAAACAGATGAGTGGTACAGCGTGATACTGGTACGGCGAGTGACGACCAAACGAAACTGGCATTGTGATCTTGGAACCCAATGGTCAAAGAGATCTTAGTATCCCAGTTGCCGCGTTGCCAGTCCATCATGCATCATTGCCCAGTGACGACCAAAGGAAACTGGCAATTACAATCTTTCTTCACCACATCCTTTGCAGCCACTCTCCATACTGGGAGGTGCATAGGTGATAGATTGAAGATGGATCAAGCAAAGCAAGACATCTCTCACCAGTCCTTGTTTAATGAAACACATACACATGGGTCTCTTGGGGTCTTTTCCAACCCAAAGTCCGCCAAATAATGGAGTCACCCCCATCCCAGAGATCAGTGGCTGAGGGGCAAACCCTGCATGTGGGCGGATTGGTTCATCCAGCTACCGTATACGTACCTAAAGAGATGTCAGTTGCCACCACGTCATGCATCATTGCTCAGCCCAGCGACGACCAAACGAAACTGGCAATTATGATCTTGGAACCCAGTGGTCTCAGTCATTTCGTGGGGTCACCAAACCCTCCACTAACTCCCCGCTCACTTTTCTGCTTTCCAAGCTCTCTTTTCTGCTCTTCAAGCTCACTTTTGCTCTGACCATGGCAATTAATTCTAGTAAAACAAAGCCAGGAACTGTTGGTACTGCCACTGCTGTTAGTGACAGTGACACTCCAAGTCAGCCTGAAGTTGCAAATGCTCCACCAAGCTTCAAGGGCCTGCTGTTTTTCAAGAGCTTGTATTTCCTCAATGGACTCGGTACCACGAGCTGGGGTAGATTTGGGACACTTTTTTATAATTCAGTCAAACATCTGAGCCCTTCTCAGATTGGCATCTTAGAGGGAATCTCTCCGCTCGTTTCTCTTTTCACACAACTTTTTTGGGGCTGGCTGGCTGATAAGATTCACAGCAGGAAACCTGTCTATGTCGTCTGCCAATTCTTTAGCACGGTGCTCCTAATGTGTTTATCATTGGACAAAGTCCAGGCTTTTGAAGTGATCCTCTTCTTGATCATTGGTATATCTGTGTTCTGCGCTGGCTCCGTCCTGGACGCGCACACATTGGATTTCCTTGGCGAGAGGCATCATGGCATGTACGGAACTATTCGTCTCTGGACCGCCGTCAGCTGGGGTTTTGGAGCCATTGTCCTGAGTTACCTTACTGATATCTACGGCTTTACGGTAAACTTTTACGTTTTTGGAGCTGTGATGACGTTGCAACTTGTGTTTTTTGTCTTTGGACTTCCAGCTCGGTCCAAATCGGAACAAGAATTCTACGAAAAGGCCCAACGACAGAAGGAGAATATACACCATCCCACCAATTTCAGCAAGAAATCTGCTGCATCTGAACCCATGAGGTGGAGTGCCTTGTGGGATATCATGACAAGGCTGCCCGTGATCTTTTGGCTTATTGAAGCTGCCTTGGTTGTTGCCGGGATCATCATTGTTGATTCTTTCTTGTTCGTGTACCTGCAGAACGATTTGCTGGCAAGCACTTCACTTTGCGGCTGGACAGTTGGGGTCACCGTGCTGTTGGAGCTGCCAATATTTCATTTTTCGCAGCAACTCTTGTCTTGGCTTGGGCATGACGTCTTGTTGATAGTGTCCATGATCTCATATTCAAGCCGTATTATCGGCTACACCATGTTGACACCAGAAACCGTCAATTGGGTCATAGCCTGGGAAGTCCTTCATGGCATCACCTTTGCTTGCATGTGGATTGCCACTGTTGATTATGCCGACTCAATCGCACCGAAAGGATGGTCGACGACAGTACAGTCCATTGTGAATGGTGTCACTTACCATATCGGAGGAGGTGTGGGACCCATTGTAGCTGGGCAAGTCATGAACAGGTTTGGCGCAAGAACCATGTTTCGAGGTATGGGATTGATAGTTGGTTCTGTTATGCTTCTCCACTTGGTAGTTATGATTTGCTTCGGCAGGGTGCATGATAAGTGTATTGAAAGGATCCGCTTGGAACGCGAGGCAGAAGCCCAGGAAACAGACGATGAGGAGGAAGAATTTGACATTATTTGATCAAAATGTATGCCTACTGCGGCCTACCCTTTTCGGGATAGTGATGAATGGTTGTACCGATACCAACAACGGCAGGATCGAGGCTAGTAGGTTTTTCCGTGACCTCGCAGACAGCCAGAAGTATCACGCATCTAAAATAGACTGAATCGTTCATAACCTTCATCTCCTTGTAGTATAAACAGGCTTCTATGTGGCTAGAGCGGACTAGACTTGGTGCTACTAGTACAGTAGTTGGGTGGGAATGGACTTCAGAGATCTGTGTGGTCTAGATTTTGTCTGTTTCCCAAGCCTGTTCTGTTTGAACTGTCACCGGCCAGCAAGAACACTGCTCCTTTCCAGAAAGTGATCTCTCGCACGAATGGAAAAATCGAAATCTTTGAAATAAAAAAATGTCGAGCAAAAATTCCCCACACGGTTCACGTCATGCGCGCCTTCGCAACCCATGCTTCTTCCATATTCTGTTTTCAAAAGTGAAGGCAAGGGAATGGCAAGAGAGATGTCGTCTCTTTGTCGACGGGAGCATCGCTCTGTGTTCGTGAAGTTCCTTCGAGTACTTCAATATGTCGCTCTGTGGGAAGTTTTTCGTTACCATGCATTCAATCGTTTGTTTCCCGGTTGCTCTGGGAGGGTGCTGTATGATCAAATTGAAAATCAGAAACCTCAAGCATCCGCTCCACTGATAGACCAAACACAAACCACTCTGCGCAACTACAGTTTCCCTTGGGAGAACCCGCACAACCTGAGCCTCCCGCAATGGTTTGTGGAATATTCCGAGTGGCACCAACAGCAGATCGAGATGCTCAATGAAACCAACTGGGAAGACTTTCAATATCTCATTGTCCGGTGTAACAAGAAGCGAGATCAATGTGGGGGCTTTGCCGACCGGCTGAAAGCGTTCCCAGCCGTCGTTAGAATTGCTTCCATGACCAAACGCGTTCTCTTTTACAACTGGGAACGGCCCTATCCCTTGGAAGAGTTTCTTCTCCCTGGCGACCGAGGAATCAACTGGAGTTACCCCGTTTGGTTTCGAAAACAAGTCGAGGATTGGGACCTGTTTATCGGCAGTGAATACACGCAACTAAACAGCTACTACGCCGACGAAATTCAAGAATCGATGAAATCCAGGCAAACGATAATCTACTTGGAGCATGCCTTTGGCGGCGAAGGCGGGGAGTTCACTTATGATAAGCAGATTAGAGAGCAGCAACAAACATTGTCGCTGGATGATGTACCCTACAGAGAAGCTTATCATGCGCTGTGGCATGCCAACTTCAAGCCAACAAGTCCCATTCAAGAGTTGCTGGAGCAACAGTTGCAGGAATCCAATCTTGTCCCGGGTCAGTATACTGGGTTTCATTACAGGTCTATCTTTATGATGGATGAGGCTGAAGAAGACGGCATAAATGCTCTTAAGAGCAATATCTTCAAAGGTACCAATTGCGCCCTGCAGTTTGCAACCCAATCCGGTGATGACCCCGTAGTTTTGGTTGCAGCGGATTCAAGAACAGCCACCACCATAGCCGTTCGCTATGTGAACAAATACACCGCCACTGCCAGAGCAGTCACCAGATCCGTCTACGCAGAGAAGCCGTTGCTTCACATGGATCGAGGCGAAGACTTTTTGTTCGGCGACAATTCAAAAACAAATGGAAGCCCCGCGGACTACTTTCCAGCAATTCTTGATCTATATCTGTTGAGCTTTTCCAGATGTATGGCCTATGGCCGTGGTGGCTTTGGAAGAATGGCAAACTTGCTCAGTGAAGGCTCATCCTGCTACTTTGACTACATGCCCGACCACGATTTTGACAGCAATGCCAACGGCTACAACTTTTCTTTTAAGCACTGTCCTATGCCTCCATTAACTCGACCATTGCACTCGACGTCCCCCAACAAGATTCCCGATAGGGAGTCAGCTCCTATCTCCCGCCCCCGCACCCCAACTGTTTCTGTCTGGAGCCTCTCCGCGAGACCGAGAGTGGGGAGTAAGCAACGCGCATTGCGTCAACTTGAAAGCCACAACTAGACTACTAGTAGCAAGGTGTTTGAGATAGTTACGAATTTTGAAATACCGGTAGACTTTTAATTAAAAATTAAAATTCACGCACACATACTAGTAAGGCAGTACAGCATAGTCCTCGTTTGTGGGCAGCAAGCCACGATACACTTTCCACAGCAGATGAGACCACGGCAAATCAGGCAGGGACTTTTCTCTGGCACGAACCGACAAACCGACATCACAAACCGACATCACATGTTTCAAGCCAAGGCATCGAAGAAGGCAACGCATTGAAGGATCGCAGTGATTTGGATGGCCAGCAACGCAGCGTCATAAATGGTTGTGACTGGGCCTGAGCATTGGGTACGATTGTATGCAGCCTTGCAACCAGCAGGTCTCGCATGCACGTTTGAGCTCACTCCTTGACCACCAGTGCGCATATCAGGTAACGAGACTGAACCCAAAGCCGAGCCCAAGCCAAAATCTGCATCGACGATGGTAACACTGGATGCTATTAGAAGCGCAGAGAGGGTGGCATCTGCAATTGAGAGGCTCGAAAATCACCGCCACTGTTTCCAGAGCTCTCTGACTGTTCGGTACAACGGCACTCTTCATGCTGCCGACCTCGCGGCTCTCCTGAGAAAACTCAGAGAGTTAAAAAGAGTCTCTGTGACGATGGTTACCATCTCGGGAGATATGACGGAGGTGGCCGACGCGATTGGCTGCCTTGAAGACCTGACATCGGCCACGTTCGACTTCAGTACAGTGGGAGAAGAAGCCGATTCCACACTGTCCTTGCTGGGTGATGCACTGGCCAAGCAGCGACTGGGCTCTCTGTCCATACACCCAAGAATGACCTCTCTTTTGGAGGCTGTGGTTGTCAGAGCTAAAGTGCTCAACGTTTCCTCTGGTCTCACTTTGAGCTGTGACGGCGTGCCGGAAAGTCTTATTGCTCCGTGTTTTTCCATCGTAGAGAAGTCGAAGACCCTGGACGTGTTGAGTTTGGAAGGCCATCATGAGCTTCAAACGAAAGAAAGCATGGAGGCTGTCGCTCAAATGATCCGACATAACACGTCTCTCGTTCGTGTGCGCCTCGTCATCAACTCGGAGATGAATCTCTCTAGCATAGCTCGAGCTCTCTGTTGCAACACGACGCTGCGCCAGCTCAAGTGTTGGACGAGCAATCACAGCACACCGGTTGACTACTCGGACCTAGAAACGTTCCTTAAAGTGATGCAGTATCACAACTTTACGCTCACGACTCTGCAGGCCAAACCCCTCAATTGGATTTGGAAGAAATCTTCCAAGGAAGCCAAACAGGTGGTAGGTCTGGTCGATGAACTAAACTTTTATTGCGACCTCAATCACTACAGGAACAAGGATGGTGTGTCCTTTCGAAAGATACTGCTGGGCGAAGATGCAAACACGGAAGACCTTGTGGCGGCCGTGGCCGGGAAACGACCAGCTCTCTCCACAGTGTTCTACTTTTTGCAGCTCAAGCCTTCTCTCTGGATTCCGAGGATAGCAAATTCTTAGATGGTGCGCTGCAATGCTCATGCAGCTGCTGCAAACCCCGATCCGTCGGTGCTGCGCTCCTTCAGAGTTCGGCCTCACGATTGATTCCCGTCTATATTCTGGTTGGCTGCCTGTCATCGGTTCTGTGGAGCGAGGCAGCTTTCATTCATTCAGTAAAGTTTGCCAGTAAAGTTTGCCGTGCAACAGCCATGAGCGTTTCGATTGAGTCATTCACGAGCTTCCTACTGTACTTTGGCGAGCTGCTCTGGCTAGTCATTCCTTTTCCAATGTCTCGCTCGACATAGCTATTGGGTGCCTTTGTTGCCCCCCTTTTGACTTCCCAGCTTTCACTAGACTAGCGTGCAAATACATGTTCCGTAACCCCAAACCCGCCTCGATCTCGCGGTCCGCCCTCTCAAATTTGAGGGCGCCACCATTCATGCGATAGATCGGACCGGACCCCTTTTCTTGCAGACCAGATTTCGCCCAAAATGTTGTGACTTGAACTTTGGATAACATCTGAAATCTGCGCGAGGCTCCTGCTTTCGAATATCCATGTCACCCTTCTCTCCCCCTCTTCAAGCCCTCCGTTACTGGTAGCCCTTCTACGCGACAATCAACGCCGTCTTCGCCAGACTTGGATAATACCTGGTAGAGCCAAATGAGCCCCAAGTGACAGTCCCGTCAGCTTTGCATCACACACCGGGACTTTGGGTCTCGCGGGAATGGATCTGACGGATCTTTGATCTTTGCTGCTTCCCTCATGCCGTTGAGCCTTTCAGCATTTTGTCCAGCAGGTTACTGCCCCTTCATCCCTGATACCTCTGATCTCGTTGCAGAAGAGACGAACAATTGGCAGCCTTCACAAAAGATTAGACTGAAACACCAGCTTCCTAAAATCTTCTTGTCTCAGGTGGAGGCAATACTTGTCTCTTTGGTATCTCCTTCCGATCTCTTTGTTTCACCCTTTCCCTTAAGACTGAAACAATGATGGAGTCTATTACATCCACGTTGCAATTGTTGACGCCTAAGGATGTCTGGAATGTGTTCGCCCACACCATTACCATTGGCCTCATCGTAGGTACGGTCTTCTTTTTGGATGATTACAGGATCAAGATCGATCGTCAAAACCAGCTCAACGATTGGATAAGAAGAGCCAGGCAGGAAAAGGCTTCCAAAGAACACAAGGTCCTAGACATGGCGTTGGATGATGAGTCGAAAATGGAACTTCTCACCGCCAAGGAAACACGGGAGCAAATCCTTGCCAAGACGTTAGATCCAAAGCAGAATGTCGCATTCTTGGCAAAACGATGTCGGGCTTACAATCAAGATAGAAAATATGGCGTCAATGCTATTGCGGAAGAACTCTACGACGAGGTAAGGTATACAGAACAGTCAAGCTATCTGAAGTGAACTTTGCCAGCACAAGGCTCATCCAATCTCACAAAACTTTTTCAATGCCATTTCATGTTTTCTTCGTTTGCTTGCTTGCTTATTTATCTACATATACAGGCTTACGAGACAGCTTCCTCTTTGGATAAAAATGTCACTGCTGACACAGCTCCACCCCTTTACGGAGTGCCGGTGTCCATCAAGGAGTCCAACGGAGTCAAGGGGACCTTTTCTACTGGGGGATTGGCGTGTCGCTTGAACAAACGACAGGAAGAGGACTCTCTGCCGGTCGAACTGATCCGCAAGGCGGGAGCCATACCCATTTGTACTGGTAACACTATCCAACTCATGATGCTGGCCGAGTCGACGAATCGAATATGGGGCAGAAGTAGAAATCCATGGGACTTGTCTCGAACTCCGGGAGGTTCGTCGGGTGGGGATGCGGCATTAGTGGCGATGGGTTGCGTCCCGTTGGCCATTGGCAGTGATATTGCAGGCAGTATTCGTATCCCAGCCTGTTTCTCGGGTATTGTTGGATTCAAACCAACTTCCACAAGATTGAGCGGGAAGGGATGCATGAAACCTCGCAAGGTGAGTCCACGTTGGGTGTTGTATGAAGAACCAGTGAGATTGTGTTCGGACTCTCAAAGTGCTGCAATGTAAACATATATCAAAACCAAAAGGACGACAAAGCAGGCTCAGGCATAGCTATTCCTGCAACGGGGGGACCAATGGCAAAAACTGTGGACGATTGTTTCCTGGTTATGAAGGCTATGTGCACACCAGATTTGTGGGAGAGCGACTTGAACGTCCCGCCTGTCCCTTTCAAAGAAGAAATTTACCTAGACCAACAATCAAAGCTGAAGATTGGCTATTTCACGACAGATGGTTGGTTTGAACCGTGCGCCACATCCAAGAGAGCTTTAAAGGAGACTTTGGATGCCCTCACCAAAGCAGGGCACGAATGTGTTGAATTTGAGCCTCCAACAGATGGATGGCACAACTATGGTTTGTAAGTAAAGGAAAATGAAGGGAGCCACTGCGAAAGTCAAAAATCAATCAATTCACCTGGTCCGCTCCTGTATCTTAGGCTTGTTGGCATCAATTCGGCCGAGGGGAACTTCAAGAGCTTTCTTGAAGCACTGGAAGGTAAGCATCACTTTTATCTGGACCCTGAGCAGTCGTCCCCATGAGATCTAACTTTTGCATATGACTGCAGGCGAGGAATGCATCAATGAATACTCAACATTAATTCGTGCTTCCAATATTCCCGATTGGCTAAGATGGATTCTTGTCAGAGTCCTCGATAAACGCCGCGCCCACTTGCTGGGTAGCACTCGTAAGTACAATTTATGCAAAAGGTAACACTTTCCTGCCTTTTGCCATGCGTCAAACTAACTTGGCTTCGCGATTCCGGACTGGGCAGGCAATGGGGGCATTAGTGTTTTTGAATTATGGAAGCGCACAGCCGAGTTGTTGAGTTTGAGATCGGCATGGTCAGATGCAGTGAGAGAGGCGGGCGTCGATGCTCTCGTCTATCCAGGTTTCCCGATCCCAGCTGCACCTCACGGCATCTCTGGTGACCTCACTGCAGCCGTCTCCTACATGTTCATGCCCAACCTACTATTGTGGCCTTCTGGGGTGGTGCCAGTGACCACAGTACGAACTGACGAACAGCATTACAGAATGGAGGATCTACCTTTGAATCAACGCGACAAAGCTGCCAAAATTACAGCCGACCGGGTGATGAAGAATAGCGAGGGTATGCCCTTGTCAGTCAGCGTGATGACTCCAGCATTTGAGGATGAAAAGTGCCTCCGAGTGATGAAGGAGATTGAACGACTGGTGGATTTCAAGGCCGAACCATCTGCCTACAAGAAGTACAGGTAGTCACATGCATCCTGTAGACACCACAAACAAAATCGAATCACAATCGTTCCTGATTAGCGAGGATGAGTGTTTAGGCTGCTGCACATACGGTATCTGCCCTGACTAAAGGATACTTCGTGTACCGAGACTGACAGAGCATATTCACACAAGTAAGTTACAAAGGTACCTCTAATCTCGCCACGAACAGTACCACGATAGAGCTTGCTAGTCGAGGAACATCTCTCTAGTAGAGCCCAGCTAGAGTTTTCTTACGTAAATGGTGCCAGTACAGTAGACCAAACTCCATCAAGATGATGCGCGATGTCAACAGCTCTGTTGGTTAACAAAGTTTTCCTACATGAGACAGCACGACAACACCCGCCATCAAGTCGGGATCGCTGCGATCTATCTTCTTGCCACCAGTACATGTACTGGCTAATTTGAGCTGAGCTCTTCGATAGAACCTCCAGGCTACGCTAGTTTTAAGAGTGTATCTTCTGTCTACCGTGCTGCCGCCGACTTTACCCTAGTAGGTCGTTCCTTGCTGCAATATCTATTGTCTTGCTTCAGCTAACCTTGAAGCCAAAGTGAGAATCCCCGAATCCCCGAATCTACCTTCACTCTCTCACTCCCTCGATCGAACACTCACTCACTCTAGACAACACAACAATCACCACAGAAATCATGTCCGACAGTCAAGGCAGCGCCCCCTTGCCACCGGGTTGGAAACGTATCTTTTCCAATTCTCAAAAGCGCCACTATTATTTTCACGCGGAAACCAAGCACACGCAATGGCACTTTCCGACGGCATCCGAAGCCGCGGATCCGACCAAAGCCAAGAAACGTGCCGAAATGAACAAGGAACGAGAAGAAAACAAGAAACGATCGGCCGGCGGTGGTAGTAGTAGTAGTGCCAAGCGACAACGAACCGAAGCGGCTGCCACGGTGGATGACTTTTTGGGGTTGGTCGATGCGACGTCGGTAGCCATTATCGTTCCCTTTCGAGACATTCATGCGGCACAGAAACGAGCCATGCACTTGAAGGCATTCATCCCGCACATGATCCAGTTTTTGACCAAACAACAAAAGGAAGGACTCGTGTCCGATTTTCATATTTACATTATGGAACAATCCGATGATGGACGCAAATTCAATCGAGGCAAATTGCTCAATATTGGATTCGATATGGCCAAAAAGTCCAAACGAGGACACGACGTTTTCATATTTCATGATGTCGATTTGCTACCCAATGATGATCTAGGTCCCTGGTATGCCAAATTCCCCAAGACACCCATTCATATTGCGCGAGTCTGGGATCGGTATTCGGGAAACAAAAAGTACTTTGGTGGCGTGGTCAGTTTCTCCAGTGCCGATTACAAGAGAATCAATGGATTTCCGTGAGTTGCTTGTGCTTGTAATTGTGTATTATTAAGTTGCTAGCTTGCTGGAGTGTTATGATTGTGGTGGATGTTTTTTGTTGGGTTGTGGCGCACAAGCAACCCAAGAGAACTAACTAACCTTGAGTCTGCTGATCTACTATCCCCACCAGCAACACATTTTGGGGTTGGGGAGGCGAAGACGACGAAATGCAAAACCGATTGGAACGATTGGGCATCAAGTTCATTTCACCCGACAAGGGATCGCTGCGGGATCTGGAGGATATGAACATTACCGAAAAAATGGCGTTTCTACGAAAGAATCGAGATTGGAAATGCATGGTCAAGTGGGAATTGCTAGATGAACACGAAAAGACCTGGAAAACAAACGGATTGTCCGATCTCAAGTATTCCGTTTTGGAACAGAGTCCGCTGGACGAAAAGAAAAAGAGTACCAAAATTTCGGTCGATGTCAAGCTCAATGGAAACCATTGGGCAAACGAAAAGGCGGGTATTGATTTCACTGGTTGATGGATGCTGTACGTGTGGTTCGTGTTCTGTGGATGCTTTCTGGTTGCTGTTATTGTCGTTTCGAATGGAATCATCGAATGACACTGGTGTTTGTGGTGGTGGTGGTGGTGGTGCGGAGCTCTGTGTCAAGTCTTGTACGGAATCGAATCAAAAAATGTGGTTGTGTACGCACGCAGCAAAAGGAACGACAAGGCCGGCAGAGGAGAGAAAAAGGAACGATTCAATCAACGTACGATTTTTGGTGGTTTCAACGATCGAGTGACGAGTCTTGCTGCCTCGAAGAAAGGAAAATGCTGCTGTGTTGCCGCTAATACCCTTTGGCCCGACGCCGTTGGCACACCAAGTGGTTTGCGATGCATCACGACAATTCGCTTGTTTGGCGGAGGATTGGGTACAAGGAGTAACGCTCTCGTTTCATAGCTATGTATGTTCTCTACTAGACGTAAACATGTCGACAATCCGACGTAAACATGTCGACAATCCGACCTGTAGCGATCGTCATGCTTGATCACGGAGAAAGTCCAGTACGTCGTAGCCGGTCTGCGGTGGCAGCATGGGCAAGGCAGCTCAACCAAAATTTGGCCGTCCTCAATGGAGAATGGCTCCATTTCTTCTCCAAAACCAACATGCTTTCGTCGTGTCTCCGGCTGTACCGTACTCCCAAATGGGAGAGGGTGTGTGAATCGAATCATTTTTTATTTTGCACTACCGCGGGGGACTGAAGCGTTGAGGTCCTGCTAAGAGAGAGGATATGGTGGTTCACAATTGGCGCTCAATCTACCGGTGTCTGGTAGCTAGTAGTAGCCAACAATCATCAAGTTCATAAAAAATATAACAAAATCCAACCGAAACCAAAGACCATCGTCGTATCTTTTTCACGCCCTACCAGGTACCGACAGCTAAGCGGCGTCACTCGCGCTTCCAACCTTGCTTTCCCGCTGCAGCAGGTGGGCTATGAAAATTGCTTCTGTGACGGTTGGCAGATGCAGCCAGGGCCGGGTGCAAACAATTAATCGACACGCCATCACTAGCCGTCTAAAATGATCTGGCAAGCTAGCTACATGTAGTTTGAAAATAAATAAGCTAGTTTAGTGTGGCACAAATTCCCAGGGCCTATAGTTTATGGAATAAAAAACATGCTATTCTTCAATTCGCCCCAAAAAACAGCGGCGCCCTCGTGGTGAGGCGGGAAACGGAAGCAGTGAATCCAAGCGATTTTCATTGTGATACAGACATGGTTGTTTCGGTGGTTGTCAATTTCATTCATTGCGAGGCACGGGCATATATTGTTGTCGCGTGATGTTTGGTTCTGGACGGTAGAATGTCTAATAATCCTGGCTTTGTCCTCCCTTGCCGGGCTGCGCAAAAAAGGGGAAAAGACGCATTGAGCTGTGTTGTCCAATTTCGGTTTGATGTGAAGTCACGTCTCATGGCTACTGTTTGTGCTTACCTTGGTCTTCTTTGGCAATAGAACGGCGTGGATATTGGGCAACACTCCACCGCTAGCAATAGTGACGTTTCCAAGCAGCTTGTTCAACTCTTCATCGTTCTTGACGGCAAGGGTGATGTGCCGAGGAATGATACGGCTCTTCTTGTTGTCACGAGCGGCATTGCCTGCCAACTCCAAAATTTCGGCGCACAAGTATCTATAGGAAAGAGCAACACAAAAAGTTAGTCTTCGTTTGGTCGGCATCTGGCACACGCGCTGATCCGTCGACCGAACTTACTCAAGAACAGCAGCGAGGTACACGGGGGCTCCGGCTCCCATTCGAGTGGCATATTTGCCTTGACGCAAGTAACGACCGATACGACCGACGGGAAACTGAAGACCGGCCTTGCTGGAAGAACTCTGGGCTTGCTTCTTGTCGCCACGGCCACCCTTTCCTTTTCCTTTTCCGCTCATGGTTTGATTTGTTTGGTTGAAATAGAGAGAGAGGTTGAAGAGAGTGAGTCCTTTCAAGTCGAGGTGATGGCAAATTGTGACGTCCGGTGGCTGTTGCTGAAGAGATCGAGGAGAGAGGGAGCGCTTTTTGTTTGAATGTCGAGCAAGGCAGCCGTCTAGGCCGCGCCACTTTGGACGAGAGGACAGGCACACTTTCTTCGGCATATTTTAATCGTTTCTGACTGGTGCTAAACGAGGAACACGCCGTGGGTTCCACAACACACCAGCCACGAAACGATGTGAATTCTTCAGCGTGGGTACTGTACTAGCTAGCTAGTACTACTAGCTAGTACGGTAGTACTAGTACTCGCAGTGGTACCGGTACTAGTAGAATGAAGCACAACAAGCTTCTCAAATTGACGCAGCCTACCCTACGGTATCCGTACCACGAGAGAGACAGAGAGCTCGAGAGAGAAAAAACGAACCAAAAGTTGGACTCATCCGGTGAATTACTAGTTTTGGCTGACCTGCCTGAGCATTCGTCTCGTTGGTGCTGAATGATATCGTAACATCTCTAACTGATCACTTGATCTTTTCCTTTTCACTACATGTAAAAGTATGAAGCCCAAAGCTGTACGCAAAACTTCTACTTCCTTTACATAAAAGCGCTATTAATACCGATACCGTATAATTCAATCATGGTATCGGTAGGCAGGCTGACCACTTTACCTCCGCAACATGCATCGGAGCACCACGTCCAAGTTTTGGCATGTCGCCATCCTCGACACCGGAATATCATTCGTTTTCTCCGCTCAAATTCAGTTGACGTTTAGCAGACGACTTCTTTAATGTCCCCATCGACCGACACATTGGGTATTTCAGGTTCCACCTCCTTGGCCGCCTTGAAAGCTGCCCCCTTTTTTGCTTCCTGCTCCAGTTGCGCGGCTTTGTAGTCCGCATAAATCTCTTCTAGGTCCTCTTTGGTAACGGACGCCGGCTCTCCCAAGTAGTTGCAAAGAGATTCCATTGGGATGGGGGGCGATGCAATACCAAAGGATTCCGGAGCATACATGATCTTGTAACGTTCGTGAACATCATAGGTGAAGGGTCCTTCACAGGCCACATTGGAGCCTGGTTTCCACGAGGAACTTCCATCCATCAATGCCAAAACAACCTTGGCAACGTCACGAGCATCGCCACTGTAGTCTTTCAAGAGTGGGTTGACTACCGATCCAGTACCGTCGGCGGCTTGGTTCCCGTAAAGGCCCGTGATGTAAACCGAAGGGGAAATGGTGTATGTTCGAATGTTGTGATCCTTGAGAAAAGTGGTACTTCCTCGGGCAACGGAATCCACAAACGTCTTGGTGCTGGTGTACAAGCTAAAGATGGTGTTGCCAGCGGGCAAGATCTCACCACAGCCATTGCCCATACTGGCTCCAACCGAAGATGTGAAGACCACACATCCGCCCTTGCCCTGTTCTGTCAGAGTTTTGAAGGCCTTGCGAACCGTGAACAGGGTTCCTTTGACGTTGATATTGATTTGGTTTTCAATCTCCTTGATGGCGACTTCATCGTCGTCCAGGGCATAGTTGGGACAGCTTGTGGGGAACACGCCAGCGTTGAGAAAGACATGGGTAATGTCACCAAAGGCTTCTCGAGCCTTGGTAAAAAGGTTCTTGACGGACTCATTGTCGGAAATATCCGTCGTCACAGCAATCGCTTTTCCTCCCAATGCTTCACACTCGGCTTTGACTCTTTCATTTTTTCCGGCATTTCTCCCAGAGATTACCACAGCACCTCCTTGCCTGGCGATTCCTTTGGCAACGTGCATGCCAAATCCAGAGTTGGAGCCGGTGATTACGCACACCGCATTGGAAAGGTTGGGGTTGGTGGCAGCGGGTACCATGGTCAATGAATTTTCTAGTTTGGATTGGCTTTGAGGTGTTGCTTGGACGCTTGGACGAGGATTTTGTGAGCTCTGAATGCTACCGGTAGGCAGATCCGAAGCAAACCGGAAATTGTTGGTATCTGGTACATGTACTGGTATGAACCACGAGTTGAACCACGTCAGTCGACAAGGGTACCTGTCCGGTACGTAAGAACCAAAAACTGCTTCCTGTATTCCGCCTTCTTTAAGTCCTGCTGCCGCTTATTTAAACCCGGTTCAACTTGGACGCTTTATATCCTTGCTCCTCTTCGGAAGACCTTCTTAAAACCGCATCGTAGTTGCGATTTAACTGCCAGTATCACAACCTTTACCGAGTAGGTATCGGTAGCCGAACTCCAAAGTGGCTATCGGTACCGGTACTGGTAGGATCCGGTAACCGAACCGGAGACCGGAGAGCGAAGGATATAACTTGCTCATACCGGTACCGGTATCCCTCTCCACTCTCCATACCGTATGTCATAGTGTTGGCCATTGGCTAATAGCTAGCTAACCTGTAATGTACTCGAGTGCCGAAGCCATCATGCAGCGGGCCAAACTTGGGTGGAAGACGAAACTAACTGGTGCCGTGAAGGCACTGTTGGATCTGTTCGGGGAGCACGGGATTGGTTTGGTACAAGATTACTCGCCCCGGCAAAAAGATTGGCTTCGGCACTCTTGCGGAATACCGGTACGCCGTGGTACCACTCACACAAGCTAGAGATCGTCATTCAGCTGTCGGTCTTTGGATTTCGTGCTGGGTAGCCAGAAGAAGCGGCGAGGTTGTGAGGTTGTCGTGCGATGGAGCGCAGCCAGGCATTCATTCATGATGAACGGGGCGTCGAGGCGTCCATAACGAGATGATCCAGGACATCCAGTTGTGCTACCATACGACTGTTTCAAAAGTTAGAACCATATATGGCCTACCCTAAAAAAATCCCCACCAAACATCTCGCCAGAGCGACAACAGTCAAAGAACTACGCATCAAACTCGAGCTGATTCTCAATGTCGGGGTCAGTTTGCTCAGACTTCGTGGCCAGGATTGTGGTTATGAAAACCATTGGTCCAACTTCAACATTTTCATCAGAATTCATCTGGGTATTCCCCAACGCCAATGAACCAGGATGGACAAGCCCTGATAGATGCGTTTGTCCGAGGTGAATCTGGTTTCTCACACCGGCATGTCCGGCAACTAGCCTCGCTGAATCAATGATACAACGGTCTGCAAAAGAAAGCCTTGGGAAGTCATCCACCAGCCCACCAAAGTAAATCAATCGCCCATCCACGTTGGATCCAAGACCCTTCAATACTGGGCCAAAAAGACCAGGGCTCCTCCAAAACATGTGAAGGAAAGACCAGTGCCAGAAACTGTGGATGAAGGAGAAATAGACTTGAAGGAAACCAGCTCGCCAAGTGCTCATCATCAGCGATCCCTGCTTGACCGTTGGATAGAAGAGAATCTGTGCCAGGATGATTGAGATGTAAAGTGTAGCACTCTGGACTACAATGGCACATACAAGCTGGATCATCCAGTGAGAAACACCGCTTGACATCCCTCTCTCAATGGCTTTCCATACTTCAACTGTTGGCAAAACACTCATGAAAAGCAACACGAGAAAGAAAAGGGCAAAGACATCTGCCCACAACTTTGTGTAGTATGGTGTTCCGTTCTTTTGCCTTGGCTTGTTGCAATATGCAGCAGTATGACCTTCAGACAAGAATGTCATTGGAGGCACCGTTTCTGAGACGAGTGGAGGTCCTCCGGCCTCAATTACAACCGTATGACCAATGTTGCAATCCTCAATGTATATGTTCTGATACTCCTCTTGAGAGTTCTTGGTGCAAAATTCTGTCTCAGAAACAAATGAGTCGTTGATGCATATGAGATCAACCTGGGAAGGAGGGAACATGTGAGCCCAAACCTTGCTGCCGAGGTCCACATCAAGGCCCAAAAGTTTTAGCAGGAGGTTGACACAGACAGAATTGGCACCCAGTGAACTGAACAACATCCAACTGACATGGTAGTTGTAGTCAGCAAACCAGTCAATGGCTTCCCTGACCCATGATGATCGAACGGGCCCAGGTCGTCGCTTGCCAATCAACATCCATTTGACGGGAATTGTAGACACCACCATAAGTATGGCTTGGACAATCAGTATCAAGAATAGGCGACACAAACTTCCATAGCGCCAGTTGTCAAGAGCCGGTGATGGAAATGAAACAAGCACAAACGCAACTTGGAAAAGACCAGCAGCAAGGTAGAGTTGCACCCAAAGGAGAACACACTTGCTCAAACCAATCTGGAACCAATGACGGTTACTGTTCCCTTGTGGGGATGTTGGGCTTTGATAGGAGGGGCTTCCAAGAGCCATCACTCTGGGTGGCACCTTGGCACACTCGGGGACTGAGCTAAGTTTCTGGACACAGCTCCCGTCTCCAATGGAAACTCCGGGCTCCGCATGTCCAAGGAGTTTTGCGTTGTTACCAATCTCCACGGGTCGAAACCGAAGAGTCGGAGCCTCGTCCTCTTTCCAGTGAGAGAATTTACTGAGGATAGCAAGATAGGCACGGTGAGACAAGGCAGCCCTGGTACACTATTGCAATGTATACCATGCTGCACTTACCGGCATCGAACAGGATGCTCAACAGTGGCTTCGCTGCCAACTTTGATGAGATCAAACTCACGAAGGAACGAGTCAATTGAAGCTGATGGATGGATCTTGGCTCCCAGCAACTTGTAGGTAATGGTGATCAGGGGTGTTCCTTTGATCAAGAAGCCGCACCAATTCTCCCATGCATGGACTAGCCTGTCAACAAACCACCACCTCAAGTATGACATGGAGGGCACGGAAACTTGCTGGGGCGTGTATCGTCCAATGACAATCCATTTGCAAGCAACAACTACCATGGAAAAACTTGTGTACCAAATTGGTATCATGATTGGCTGTAAGAGATGTGATGCATCATCCAGAGCAGAGACAAAGAAGTATGATGGGATAAGACTGATAGCCACCACAAAGAGCAGTGCAATGCATCCCAGCAACTGAAGGAATGTGGCCAAAGGCCAAGAAAGGGAAGACTCTGAAGCCTCACCAATGTCATCTGTCTCAATTGGAAAGGGCTTGACAGTCCCGGCATTTTGAGCCAGAAATGCAAGAAGAGTTTGGGGGTTTTCAAAAGTTTGGTCGAAGTCAGCAGGAACTGGAACCAGAAATTCAGTTTGAAGGTGATGTGCCAGTTCCACAGCCTTGATTGATGAAAGCCCAAATTCTGTCCATGATTTCGTGACATCAATGTTGGGACCCAAGAAGTTTTCAAGCACTGACAGTATTTGAGACTCCAATGTACCCTCAATCATCTGTAGTTTGGTGATTTCCATCTTGTTTTTGATATCAGACAGCTCCAACAGTGGTGTTGCACGAGCCAATGCATCTCTAGTCTGCTTCCCAAAAGATTGCAGGATGCTGTTCGCTACATCAATACCACTGACCAGCGCATCTTCATGAAGCATGAACCCTCTGGACCAGCCTCCAACAAAGTAGGTGTTGTGCTTTCCTTGATTTTGCTGCAATGTCTCTCTACAAGTAAGGGTTGCCTTGGTCAGCTTTGTGTGGACAAAACTGCACGAAGCATTTGTAATGAAAGTGTAAGGACAGAGACATCTAAAACAGTACAAGTATATGTATGTATTCTGCATACCTGAAGTATTTCTTGGGCCCGACAATGTCTAGCTCATTGAAACTGCCATAGGAGTGAGTGCTGTAAATCTTTGTTTGGCCATCATTGTCTGAAGCACATGGGCAAAGACAATTAGTGCCGGCTGGATTTCCAGACTTGTCATACAAATTATCGATCCACTTACCGCAAACCATGGACGTAGTTAGTGGCACAGTCTGGTCACGGGAAGGAAGAGGTTCTCCGATGTTTGGCATCAGTGCAAACATGAAAGCTTTGGAAGAGTTGCTCCCCCACCTATCATCTTTGTGCAAGACGACAGTCTCAGAGGGACACCTCAATTGAGTAAGAGCATGTTCGTGGCTTCTGACGTGGTTGCTCAGAAAGGCAGAGGCAGCATTGGGTGGCATGGCAAGAACCAGTTTGTCAGCAGAAAAGACAATCTCCCCAGCTTCAGACTCAAGCCTGAGTCTCACTCCATCTTGTCCTTCTCGGCTCTCCAAGGTGGCAGTGGTTCCCTTCAGCAGTTCAACCCTAAGACTTTTCAGGCGAGCCTCAATGGCTTTCATGTACTCTTTGTTGTTCAGGCGGAAAATGCCAACATCTTCTGTCGCCATCATTTGTGCCACCACAAACCATGCGAAATGATACACTGGAAGATAAGTTGCAGGAAGGATAGTTAGATGTTGCCAGGTGGTGCAAACGGATGTTACCGTGCCGTACCGGTAGCACTTGCGCTGCATACTTACCCGGATAGTCCAGGTATTCCTGGACGGTTTGTCCGGCGAAGAAGAAAGTCATTCGGCCGAGGACGAAGTAGACAATAAAGTCTTCCGTGTAGCCTCTGCTATCAAGGAATTCCCCAAGTGATGTCTCCATGGATTCAGTAGAGTGAAACTGGTATACACTGAGCATGTCAGCCATAAAGCGTCTGACTTCAGGTTCAGGTGCCTCAGGAACAACATGGCCATCTAGTGCGATCCTTCCGGCTGCCTCATTGAGGTTGCCAAGGCGAATCCGCTCTACACCGAGCTCTTCAGTCAGCGCCACTAGGTTGGGCCACTCCCTTTCTGTGAATGCTCCAAATGCAGGATTGCGAACGTTTTTGTCAAAGACCTCAACGTGACCGGCATGGCCTCCAATGCTCTCATTCTTCTCAATGACTGTCACCTTTACCGTACCTCCCTCCGCTAGTCTCATTGCGCAAGCGAGGCCTGCGATCCCACCACCCACAACCACAATGTGCCTCTTCTGTTTCAAGTCGATTCTGTCGAAGAAAGGAAGTGTGTCGTATGTGCTACATGTACTTCGTTCCCATTCCAGTTCTACTGCTTCCAACAAGAAGGCACAGGTTGCCTCTAGCGCGAGATCTCTTGCTGGACAGCCATACTTCCCAGCTTGTTCTGCGAAGAAGCAGGATCTACTCTCATATTCCTCTACTGTGCATCGGTTTGGGCGGAAACTGTAATTGTCGTCCCCCCACAATGAAGAATCTCTGCCGCACATGTCAATCACAGCGACGTGTCTGGTATCGCCGTCGTACCAAGGAACACCCCCCACAAGCGGAAAGAGACGAACACACTCCCAAACGAACTGGCGAACAATGCTTTCATTCAGCTCGTAATGTTCTCCGTCAAAGAACTTGTTTTCGCAGTAGATCAAAGACAAGCAGTTGTTGATCAGAGTTGCAATTTGAATGCCGGCGAACACCATGAGGTCTATGATTGCAGAGGCGTGATACTCGGGCACACTGATCCTAACCATCACCGATCGAAGAAGGTTGGCCTTGAGCTCGAGCATGCTCTCATCTTCAGGAATATCGTGCGGTCGTGTCATCGCATCGTACGTGAATCCTTGCAGTGCCATGAATTCCTTTGTCTCTTCGAGAGAGAGCTCTTCCTCGGTAAGGAGTCGATAGACAAACTGGATGGTCCACCGACGGATTTGATTGTATCCAAGCAGCTTGCTGGCTTCGAGGAATCCTTTGATCTCCAGCCGTATCACATCCTTGCTGGGTGCATTGGCCAATGAAGCCACCGTCTTCTTCCGAAACTCACAATGTGAGTCGTTGTCAAGCGCAAAGACAACATCACGAGGTCCGCAACCAGGGATTTCGGTCCAGAAACGCTTATTGGCTAGCATGGTGAGTCCAAGATCGTAGCTCCTTGTTACTTCACCGCAGTCACGCCTTCTTTCGTACTCAGATAGGTTTCTGATTACAGACGGATAGTCGATCGTAGCCACCTCCGTCAAGTGACGGTGATTGTAGGATTTCGAGGATGCTCCCTTGTAAAACTCATACCAACCCAGCGAAGCATCCGAAGGGTGTGCCGTTCCATTGGCGGCCCCAATGGTAAAAGGGGAGACGTTCGGTGGGACAACGACGCCTTTGGAACCCGAGAAAGGGCACTGGGCCTTACTTGGTGCACGAGCATTCTGCGCTTCTCCCTCCAAGTCACCAAGTCTTCCGAATGGACGCCTGCTGGAGGCTCGGAAAGACATTGATATTTCCTGGGAGACTTCTTGGTGCATCTCTTCCATTGTCTTTTTATCATTGGAGAAACCACGGGATGAAAAGGATCGTTCTAAGAAAGAAGGGGACACAAGCTGGGGCTGTTGAGGTCTCTCAAAGCGCAACAAAACATCATTGGGAGACCATTGATTGTCCATGGTCTTCTGCTTGATCAGGAACCTCCTCAATTTGCCTGAAGTGGTCTTTGGAATCTTCCCAGGCTTCACAATGACCACTTTCTGAACCTCTAGGCCGTGCTGACGTGATACCAGGCCAGCAATGTCAACATGCAATTTGCAATCACTGGGAACACGGTTCTGTCGATGCTCAACTGCTACGCCAATACTCTCAGCATCCAGCTGAAATACTGCAATCCTTCCAGACTTTACACTTCCAGCATGTGCATTATTGATAGTGGCTTCGATGTCAGTGGGATAGTGGTTCTTTCCTGTAGGATGAGGGGCGCTGTGAGCATCGTTTGTGCTCCAAGAGGGATAAAGATTGTGCACCGGAGCGAAAACTTACCCGCAACAATGAGAACGTCCTTAGCACGCCCAACCACGTACAGCTCCCCATTCACAATGGTACCGAGGTCACCAGTGTCAAGCCAATAACCATTTTCGCCTTCCAAGATGTTGCGGAAGGCTTCGACAGTCCGTTCTGCTTGACCATAATAGCAAGTGGCAACAGTTGTAGACTGAGCAAAAATGTTGCCAACCTCTCCCTCTGGCACAAGACGAGTTTTGTCCTGGACGATGCGAACCTGTCCATGGGGAAACTTGGCAGGTCCACAGTTGATGTGAGTTTCATCAACCATTGTGTTCAAATTGGCAACGGATCCGGTAATCCAGACTCCACACTCCGCTAGGCCAAATACATTGCTGATCGCTTCTGGCCGCATGTTCAGATCTTTCTGCAGTCCAGTGACAACCTCCTTTGTGAGGGGCTCGGCACCTAGAATGATCCGGTCAACACAACTCCAGTCTGCAGTCACTCCTTTGGCCTGCTGAAGCCGCCTCATGAGGAGGGCACACCCAAAGTTTGGGCTGGCTGCAACATTTGCCTTGTACTTCGTTATCATTTCATTCCACAACAAGGGCCTTGAAAGGAAGTTCAGGGGACTCGTCGCCTTCAAGGCACAACCTGAGTAAAAGCATGTCAGGTAGCCTCCCACCAGTCCCATGTCCTGGAGTCATACGCGACAGTAGTTTAGGACATACTAACACTTCTGGAAAGCAAATCAACACGCAGAAACTTACATGATACTGAGGCAGCCAGATAACAGCCACCTTGGAGAGGTCCGCCTTGCATGTCTCGGTGACGCGACGGCAATTCTCCAGCACAGCTCTGTGGGATAGAGCCACACCCTGCAGGAGCAAGCAACGAGTTGCAGTGGTTAGATATCAGGCACTCTACTACGCCCTGGCCGATTCTTTCCAAGGGCATGTACTCACCTTCGGGAATCCAGTCGATCCACTAGTGTACTGCACAAAAGCAACGTGTTCCGTATCGACAGGGTGTTTGTTGTTGTGGCCTTCCAGCTTCTTACGTTCCTTCATAGAAGGCGTGTCAAGATTGTCAGTGGCTAACCACTTAACGCCACTTTTGGCCACAAAACTTGCAGCCCTCATGATGATGGCAAACTTGCCCGTTGTTAGGGCATACTTGGCTCCGGCATCTTCGGCAAAACGCTTGAACTTGGCTAGTTCCGTTTTGAGTTGCTTTGGGTTTGGTGGGTAGATCGAACAAGGAACGAGCTGGGCTCTGATTGCGCCAAGTAGCGCAGCGAAAAACTCGAGGCCAAAAGGATATGCAATCATGACACGATCACCTTTCTTGCATCCCTTCTTTAGGAGCATGACAGCAACAGCTGTGGAGGCTTCATCAAGTTGCTTGTACGTGACTTGGTTGACTTCCTTGCCATCTCCATTGAGCCAGGTGTGAACTGGGTGATTTGGGTTTTCCTTGACATAATAGGTGATCACATCGGTGAGTGTCGAGAATGAAAGCCGGGGGTCAGATATAGAGTTGTTTTCCATGGAGTTCATGTTGTTGTCCTTTTGATGGGAGAGGAGAGCTACTAGTATGCATAGAGAGAAGCGGATAGATTTGTGGTTTCGATCTGTTTTTTGTTCTTACTTTTCCTACTACTAGCTAGCTAGTACAGTACACCGGACCTTGTGCCGCCAGCCGCCAGCTCTGCGCAGTTTTGCGGTTTTCGAGAGGAACCCCGGCAGCGCTCAGTACTATTATAATAAGCCAGCGGAGCTGTGTAACCTCGGCAGAAAGGTTTCAGTGTAGAAGCAGATACCCCTATAGCTAGCTAACTAGAAGCAGACACCTCTAGTGCTTAGCTAGTACTTAACTTGTGCTTAGCTAGCTAGAAGCAAATCCCCCCTAGCTAGAAGCAGATTCCCATAGCAAGCTAGAAGCAGACACCCCTAGCTAGCTAGAATACTAGTT